TCAATGATCCCCCGGGGCGGGGCCAATTTTGACCCCAGGGCTTTTATTTGAACAAACTTTGTAGACACTTATTAGAACATGTTTCATGCTTAATATCTTAGCTTTAACTCTTTTGGTTCTTTAAAAGAAGATTTTTTTAAGTTTTTACTATATGCATATAGGGAAAATCAATGACCCCCTGGGGTGGGGCCATTTTTGACCCCAGGGCTTTTATTTGAACAAACTTGGTAGACACCTATTAGAACATGTTTGATGCTCAATATCTTAGCCTTAGCTCTTTGAGTTCTTTAAAAGAAGATTTTTTAAGTTTTTACTATATGCATATAGGGAAAATCAATGACCCCCCGGGGCGGGGCCAATTTTGACCCCAGGGCTTTTATTTGAACAAACTTGGTAGACACCTATTAGAACATGTTTCATGCTAAATATCTTAGCCATAGCTCTTTGAGTTCTTTAAAAGAAGATTTTTTAAGTTTTTACTATATGCATATAGGGAAAATCAATGACCCCCCGGGGCGGGGCCAATTATGACCCCAGGGCTTTTATTTGAACAAACTTGGTAGACACCTATAAGAACATGTTTCATGCTAAATATCTTAGCTGTAGCTCTTTTGGTTCTTTAAAAGAAGATTTTTTAAGTTTTTACTATATGTATATAGGGAAAATCAATGACCCCCCGGGGCGGGGCCAATTTTGACCCCAGGGCTTTTATTTGAACAAACTTGGTAGACACTCACTAGAAGATGTTTCATGCCAAATATCTAAGCTCTAGCTCTTATGGTTTTTTGAAAGAAGATATTTAAAGTCTTTTCTTTCGGTTGCCATGGCAACCAGAGTTCTGCATGGAATTAAATTCTTTGAACAATTTTTAAAGGTGACCACCAAAGGAACATTCCTGTGAAGTTTGGATGAAATTGGCTTAGTGGTTTATGAGGAGATGTCATTTAAAGTAAAAGTTTACGGACGGACGGACGGACGGACGGCCGGACGACGGACGGACGCCGGACGAAAAGCGATCACAAAAGCTCACCCTGTCACTTTGTGACAGGTGAGCTAAAAAAAACACATGTGTGCCAACCCAGATTGGTTCTCTAAAAGTACAAAATAAATGCCTATGAATTTCAATGATTTCACAGTATCACTAGTCCTCCAAATACTTCAATTAAATTTCACATCACCTGTTTTCCATATACATGAACCATACATTAACATGATGCAAAAATAAACTTTCAACATATTATTAAACTATATACATCACTATGAGACTATTATACAATGATATCTTTGATGTAAATTGTTTACACGCATGCAAATTATGTACAATTTAATTACACAGTTTCTATACACATTTCAATATTACATATAATTTAATATGACATATAAAGAATCGATAAAAGAATCACAACTCTTGTTCAAAATTATCAGCATTTGGCAAAAGGAGAAGAAAACAGTGTGTGTTGTATTCCGGTTAATTTTCGAGATTGTAAAGAAATTAACAAAACCCTTTAGCCTACTGCCCACAAATAAATCTACCCATGTGACCAGTGCTGACCCCAAGATTTCCCAGCACATCCATATGCCATCTGATCAAGGTCTGCTCTGTTCCCTTTTCAGTCAGTACATTGTATATATAAATAGCTTGCCCCTATGGTAATAAAAGTGATGACCTCACAATAAAGTTAAAAATAACTTAAATATATATAGCCAACTAGCATGAAGAAAACGCAACCATGGAATAGACTTTGTATTATTGTGACAAGACAAAATGGTTGTCACCCATGCTACATGGAATGAAACCTTAGGTAGTCAGTCCCCTTGATCAACATGTCACCTCTTTATACGATCTAGATATACAATCATCAAGTTTATCTTTATGAATAAAGAAGTGGTTAAGGGTCAGGTGACACAGGTCTCCAACTATGGCTTTTAAAATTCCACAAATTATACATTTTCTGACAAAAGAGGTAACTGATATTCAGAAAGGCTGAATATAGAGGTACAAAAGTAGCACTTCAAAGAATAAATGTCATAACTTAACGAAAATTAAAGAATAAGTTATGACATTGTTGTCTTGAACCTTTTAAAGACATTTTTTTAATCAAAAATGACCTTATCATGTAATAAATTACAAAGTATATTACCAGTATACAACACATACTGTTTTTCTCCAGACAGGCACAAAGTTATGAGAGAAAAAAAAGATTAAAGAAAAAAAGAAAAGAAAAAACATTGATAAAACAAATTTTAAAATAGCATACATTGCTATCTCCAGATCTCCACTTCATTTGAACTAGCACTACTCACAAAGATATTTCTTTTCAAAGTTGAAACATTAATTTATGGTCTTTTGTGTATAAAGCTTAAAGCTTATTGTAGCTTATTTCAACAAATCTCAAGTCTCCTTTCCAAGAACTAACCAGTGCTGGTACCACACCAGGAAATCAGGTCGTTACCTCAGTTGGGCTCGGAATCCATGATCCTTGGGTTGGAGGCAAATGCTTTAACCACTTGGCCATCCCTCCCTATTCCTTTTCCCTGAATAAACAGACTCATAAATCAAGTGAATTATCACCAAGATCTAATTGTGTTCATAGGTATCCCATACTCTGCCGACGTCATGTAACAGACTTAAGAATTTCAACTGAAATTGTTTTTTGCCTTAAATTCCAAGGATCTTACGTCAAAATTTGTTTTTTACACTGGCAGCCATCATTAGATGGTAAAGTCCAACTGCATAGATGTGCAGGCTGGTGCCTCAAGTTGTATTGGTAGCCTAAGGCATGTCCTTAGCTAGCATTGTTTTACTATTTGCACAAGTTGGGATAAATCTTGGACACAAATCCCTGTACAATAAACACTGTTGTACAGCGTCCACCGGATATAGCCCCTAAAAACAACGAAAACGAAAGTAGAAAGCTTCACACTGAGTACACCCAAGATAGTGTTTAACTTATTTCTTCATCATAACTTCATTGATTTTTCCAAACTAAACAATTTTGTGAAGCTAAATGGTTCTTGTTTTAGAGCAATATTTGCTTTTGTCTGCAAATTGAATACTTTTTGTTAAATTGTGGTGATGAATTGTAGCGTATTTGTTGACATTTGCGAACGATGTTGATATTTACCACTAAAACCAGCCCAAAACGCATTTGCTGTATCGAATTCCGCCGTTAATACAAACTATAGCCATCCCTCTACTTATATTTGAGTTTTCACCCTTCAACTTGGGCTGCTTTTAACAAAATTTGCGAAAAACGACCTTGCCTTGTGTACAGAGTCTAGCACGGATGTGTACGGGGTGTAGATGGAAAACTGTTAGCGATTGTACGGGGTGTAGTAGGAAAACGAATGTCATTTTCTGTAAAATAAATTCAGTACCAGAGCATATACACGTACGCTGATGAAGAAATAACGATTAATGTCGGGAGCAGGGATTGTGAAGTGAATGATATTAATTTTATAAAAGATGAAAATGTTTAAATTGTAAACATGTTACGCAACATGTATATTAATTGCAGTAAACAGTTTCCGTCCTGCTATACCACTTTTTATTCGTGACTAAAAGTTAATAGGGAAATCGTAAAACTCAAAAGACCACAATTTCATTCCATAGTGGTAGAACATTATGTACAGCAAATTCTATAATTTGTCTTAAACAATTTCAAACCATGTTTGGGTTATGCTTGATCTAAACTTGTTTTATTGGGTTATTATTTCACTGGTCTTAAGACTTCATTGAAAAACAAACATAGGTTAATGAGCTTTGATAAAATATCCGCCTTGATCAGTTAGGTTAATCATTATAAAGTCTTTCATATTTTTTGCAGTCAAACTCGGGTGGCCTCACTTGTGATTTCGATATTGTTTAATAAATACAATGCTGCCGTTTATGTTGCTGCTTTTTCTAAAAATTATAATGATAATGATGACTATTCATTGATGATGATGACGATGATGACAATAATGGTATTTTATGTTTTCAATTCAACAATGCCATACCAATGTACAGAGTGTGCAGACTGATATGAAACATTTAAAGAGTCTATTCGGCATATTATTACCGGTACCTTTTGAGTCGATTAATAGCTTATATAAGGCGGCTAAAACTGTTTTATAGAAGACAGTGCTTATGCCGTTTTGTAGAAAATGACACTCGTGCATAATCTTTTAATTGTCTGATCAATTATCAACCTCATGTCTTATGTGTAGGCTAGTTATACATGTATAAATATAAATCCCCATTCGGACCATTTCCATCGAGTTGGTCAGAAGACTCCTCAACATGTCTTATAAATACCGACAGACACTATTCAGCTGATGGTATGACAATACGAATTCAACGCAGCTATACTTTTAGGCTCAAAACACAAAAAAGTTAAATTATTTACCAAATACCTCTGTATCGTCCTCAAATCTACCCATGTTTAGTCTAAAATGAGATTATTTCCAATTAAAAATAATATAAAAGACTATACTTTAAAAATATTTGACTGCTAGACACCGTACACATCTACTAAACCCTGTACATTAAACTACAACACCCCGTTCACTTAAATTTGTTTTCTTTGCTAGACTCTGTACACATGGCAAGGCCGTTTTTTGCAAATTTTGTTAAAAGCAGATCGAGTTGAAGAGTGTAAACTCAAATCTAAGTAGAGGGAGGACTATAGTTTGTGTTAAATGGCTAATTTTGATACAGCAAATGCGTTTTGGGCTCGATTTAGTGGTAAATATCAACATCGTTCGCACATATCAACAAATACGCTACATTTTATCGCCAAGATAACACAAAGTATTCAATTTGCAGACAAAAGCAAATATTGCTCTTAAACAAGAACCATTTAGCTTCACAAAATTGTTTAGTTTGGAAAAATCAATGAAGTTATGATGAAGAAATAAGTTAAAACATTACCTTAGGTGTACTCGGTGTACTGCTTTCTACTTTCGTTTTCGGTGTTTTTAGGGGCTATATCCGGTGGACGCTGTACAACAGTGATAAACCTTGCCTAAGAATCCAAGTAAAGGCAAGGAACCATAAAGGAAAATTGGAAGTTACTTTCCATCTATAATATTGATAAATGCATAGATACTCAATTCAATTGCTTATCTTTTTGAATACTTAATCAAAAATATGTTTCACTTAAGAATAAGTGATTTTTTTCTTCGTAAAGTGACACACAAGTCTATGTTATGCATATTAAGTCACAAAAAATCACTTTGTAATTTTTCTGTGTGAAAAAAAAAAAGTCAACCATAAAAATACACATCTCCCTGATTTACTATTTAACTTGTTCAAACATGTTTTCTTCAATTTTCATAACCTTGGTGTGCTTTATTTCTGTTTCTGTACACTAATCACATAGTTCTATTTCGCTAATCGAACTGTACATAATTCTTTTTTGGTGTGTTTGATTATAAATTTTGTAGGTATGAGCTCAAGTTCCACATTGTTGACCAGGTCTCATACATTGGATGAGGGAACACTGTCAAAGAAACTTTCTTTTCCAAGTTGATTCTGAAACAGAGGAATAAAAAATTCAAGTTTAAATATGAATAAAGTTTATTCATTTAAAAAAATCAATCTCAGTTACATTTTTTTCTGAAATAATAAACTTTTTTGCTCTTTGCAATGGTATCACTTGAGAAAATATGTAATTACAAAATACACAGATGAATTGAAAATTTTACTTTTATTCAACAATTTAGAACAATATTCAGATTTCATAACTACATGCAAATAAATTAATTTCATTTTTTTCATGTTCCATAACATTGACATATAATCACATATATCTGTGACAAACAGGAAGAAATTAAATAAATTTTACAATGATTTGACACATTGTAACTTTATAACTGAAAATGTATAAATGAAAGGATTCGAGAGTGTTTCAATAAGCTTATAGCTTCCAACACAATCAAACTAAAATAAAACTAAACTAAATGAATTATGACAGTATAGCATAATTATCTTTTTTTTTGTCTTCAATGCAGCAGGTGTGATAAAATGGCTTTTTAAAACTGGCATTCAGTGCAAAAAGGTCATGGGATCGGCAAACACAGCTTACATGCAAGCCTGCTATGGTAATATAGCTTCATACAAAATAAAAATTGGCATAATTAATGATGCATATCAGCCCTTAAATTTTTGCTTTAAAAATATTTATATAAATATTACATTCCATGTACTTAAAATTAGTATCAAACACTGGATGTGTCCTTATTGATGTCTATAACTAAATCATTAAAAATTACAAGATTTAACGATACAGAAGTGCAAAGATTAAAGGTCCTGGGTGGAGAAATGTTTTGAAAATCATTTTATTTTGATACATTTGATAATTAAATAAAAAAAAAAAAAAAAAAATAGAAAAAAGGTCATATCTGACATGCAGGGGTCGTAAAAAGACACGTGCAGTGCAGGTGACATCAATAAGGACTCATTCAGCTTTAGGCAATCTGTATTAATAATGTATAATGTTAAAATTCATTTAAAACTCACAACATAAAGTATCAAAGTATCTATTCTACATAGTTTTTTTTTTACCCTAATTGACAAATCCATTGCTAATATTATGTTCTAAAATAGCTCCCTGAACCAAGGCATTTTTTTTTTTAAATCATCTTGAATATGGTGTGTTACTAATTAAAGCAACTGATTTCACAATAATAATTTACACATTGTATTCACTGATCTTCCCGGCTTAGACTAATGTAAAGGACATACAGTATTGTCTCCCGGCTAAGCTCAGAGGCTTCAAGATTTGTAATACATTGGTTCCTGGTTCGATCCTGGGTCAAAGTGAAAGCTTCTAAGTGACACTGACCAATGGTCATTTGTCTTTCAAGGCCAATCTAAAAATCATTTGGGATTGATAGTTGGACTGGTCACTTCTGATGACATTGGTCATTACTGGTTTGTTATCCAGGACAGCCGGTAAGATTGACCGATTGCTAGTGTAAAAACCACACAAACAAACAAAACCTTGTTGAATGATCTTTCTATTTGCTTATTAGTAATAAAATACAGACTATAGATTCACAAAGTTTTAGAAGTAAAACTAAACCTTTCCCCTAAAAAAAGTAATAATTGTACACTTATATACTTCTAACATAAATAAAATGGAAAATTTAATAACATCAACAACTGAATTCCCCTCTTAAAAGACATAGAATAAGCCCTTTTACCTTCCCTGATAAAAAGTCCTTTTTACCTTCCCTGATAAAAAGTTATGTCTATAAAACCACCTTTCTATATCAATAAAATCACCTATTTATGTCAATAAAGTCTCTTATTTATGCCAATAAAACCACCTATTTATGTCATTAAAATCACCTATTTATGTCAATAAAACCTCCTAGTTATATCAATAAAACCACCTATTTATGTCAATAAAACCGTCTATTAAGACAAAGAGAGAAAAAGAAATTGCTACTAACCTATGTTACATGTTATGCTATATGTTACTAGCATTTAAAGACATACATATGTGTAACTTTACACAGAGTTATTGATTTTCGTGAAAAAAGTATGGCAAGGAAAGGGTTGTTACAAAAGAAAGTATAATTTTCTTACTGAAAGATGCATGACCCATGTATTAAATTTTTTGGAAGCCTAACCAATGTTAAAGTTTGTCTAGTTTAGTTTAAAGTCACACAAAACACAAACACAAGTGTCATTTGGTTATGTTAAAGGTATTGTTTATAATAAAGATCATCCCATCTACAGGGCTAAGAAAGTCATTTTAGATCAAAGACAGGCTCTTGCTAGTATACTAGTAGATGTAATTAAAATAGAAAGATGGGTTGGTATGGTAATGATTTGGTAATTTTGGTTCTCTTAATATGGAAATTATTTGGTCTTTAAACAGACATTTTATCAGACTGTGGCAAGTGTCTGGGAAAGATAACAAGTTACACATTCTGCTAAATGGACTGGTCACCCACATGTAGGAATCCACAGACCCTACTGGGATCTGTATCCACAGAGGTGTGGTCATGAGATTCAAAATTAGCTACCATAACCATTAAGCTAGAGTATTACCCCCTACTGGCTAAATAACTACATTTAAATTCTAACAAATTTATTATAATCAGAGAATTTCATGTCCATTCTTGAACATTAAACTGCTCTAAGCCGGTCATTAATCAATAATTGTTCAGCCATGGCAAAAAAGAAAATAGAAATATATGGGCAAAAAAATATAGGCATACTATATTGTGCAATGAAAAATTAAAAGCAACTGCCATTGGAATTATTTGTATAAAAAATCTCCCCACGTTTAAGACAAACTAACTGTGCAGGAACCAGAATTATATATGTAAATATATAATCATATAAGCATAACCTTTGCATAATCTTTACAGATTTCTTTTATAGGCATTAAAATATGCTGATGGTTAATCCAGACCAAACAATTAAGACATAAAAGAAAAAGAGAGAAGAGCAAATAAAAACAGGTGTTATGATGTGGGATATATAATCACATTTTTGTTTTGTTTCTAAAATCAAACAGATTCTCCTGTGTCCATGTCTTCTACCAGAGTCTGCAGAATAAAATTGATGTAATCATAAACTTACTGTGAGGGTACAATGTCATACTTTTACCACATGGTATTTTATGCCTTAGGTTGGTTTTATATTACTGCATGTGTGTAACGTCACTTTTCATTGGATAATTGTGACGCTTATATAATTTTTAATAATTTCCAAGAAACCTCACTTTTTTCTAAAAAAAAAGGAAGTTTGCAGTATTATAAATTCGTTATAAATATTTCTAACATGTTATATGACCATATATAAATAGTTGTTTGCAATATAACCCTAGCCTAGTGGCTCGGATTATATTTCCTAAATCATTTTATATATGGCCATATAACATGTGAAAAATCATTGTAACTAATAATATACCACAAATTAGATACTGTAGTGCGCTAATGAAGAGAAAATTCCTGGATCCGGTTGTTCAAAACATTGGTTAGTGTTAACCAGTGGTTAAATTCATTATCCTCTGGTTAAATTTTGTCTGTTGTATAAATTCTGTTGCTCAAAACTTATCCAATGGATAAAATGCGTTATCCAGCAGGATCCGGTTGTTCAAAACATTGGTTAGTGTTAACCAGTGGTTAAATTCATTATCCGCTGGTTAAATTTTGTCTGTTGGATAAATTCTGTTGCTCAAAACTTATCCAACGGATAAAATGCGTTATCCAGCGGTTAACTTTAACCAGTCCTATGACCACCGGATAATGCCCTTAACCAGTGGTTAGTCATCATCATTAAAACAGTAAAAATCATTAAAACTTGTTTAAAACCAGATTTTTCTTAAAAATATATGTTTATTTTTCTTAACTAGAACATTTCATATAAAATGCATAGGATTAAATTGAAACATTTCTGAAAAAAGTGCTTTTAGAACCCTTTTTCAATCTAAATTTGTTGTTGTTGTAGTTCAGAAAATTCAGTTAAACAGTCATAACTTTCTTATTCTTTAATAAAACATACAAGTGTCAGTACTCATTTTCTTAGTTAGAACATTTCTCATCTAATGGAAGTAATTTTAGTTTAAAATTTGAACAAAAAATTGTTTTTGATTTTTTTCTTATTTGTGTCTAAGGGAAAAATAAATCTATCAATATTTTAAGGCCTCTGATATACTTTTATTAATTCCAAAAACAAGAAAGCACAAAACATGCAAAATCATTTTTTGGGAGCTTTTTGATTCTAATTAATTATTCATCAAAAAATCAGCCATTTTGTTTCCAGAATCACTAACCAACCCTGTTGCATTGTGGTACTTAACCAGTGGATAAACACGCTATCCACTGGTTAGGTAGCCAGTGTACTATCCAACTGTCGAACAATGAAATTTTATCCACTGGATAACTGGCCGCTGGTTAAGGATTTAACCAGTGGATAAGCTATCCATTGGCTAATTTTAACCAATGTTTTGAACAACCCGGTCCAGTTAACTTAAACCAGTCCTATGACCACCGGATAATGCCCTTAACCAGTGGTTAGTCATCACCATTAAAGCAGTAAAAATCATTAAAACTTGTTTAAAACAAGATTTTTGTTGCAAATATATGTTTATTTTTCTTAACTAGAACATTTCATATAAAATGCATAGGATTGAATTGAAACATTTCTGAAAAAGTGCTATAGAACCCTTTTTCAATGTAAATTTGTTGTTGTTGTAGTTCAGAAAATTCAGTTAAACAGTCATAACTTTCTTATTCTTTAATAAAACACACAAGTGTCAGTACTCATTTTCTTAGTTAGAACATAACTCATCTAATGGAAGTAATTTCAATTCAGAATTTAAAAAAAAGTTGTTTTTGAATTTTTTCGTATGTGTGTTCTAAGGGAAAAATAAATCTATCAATACTTTAAGGCCTCTGATATACTTTTATTTTTGTTTAATTCCAAAAACAAGAAAGCACAAAACATGCAAAACTATTTTTTGGGAGCTTTTCGATTCTAATAAATTTATTATTCATAAAAAAATCAGCCATTTTGTTTCCAGAATCACTAACCAACCCTGTTGCATTGTGGTACTTAACCAGTGGATAAATACGCTATCCACTGGTTAGGTAGCCCGTGTACTATCCAACTATTGAACAATGAAATTTTATCCACTGGATAGCTGGCCGCTGGTTAAGGATTTAGCCAGTGGATAAGCTATCCATTGGTTAATTTTAACCAATGTTTTGAACAACCCGGTCCTGATGTACAATTTTTACAATCAAGCCCCAAAGTTCACACTCGTATTCCAAAGTTTACACTCCCCAACATATAACTGTTCTGTCTTATATGCAAGTAAATTGGAATACCCATCATTTTAATAACTTAAATGCATGCTTTTGTGTGTTTTAATGTTGTTTCAGTCAAAAATGACATATTCATAATTATATTGACATACATGCTATATTTAAATCAAATCAGCCCCACAGTTCTGCCTGTAATAAACGACAATGAAGATCAACAAGATCGCCCTATGAACTATATATAACCTATAAACTCTTTTATAGCACTGTAAAGAAGGAATTTCAAATTACATTTTGCACAAAATGCTGTTAGTTCAAGTATGTATAACATTCTAATGATGTGAAATTAACAAAGAATCAAATAATTTAAAATGTGATGAATTTTGCTTAATTTTGGCATAAAAATCAGTGAATTTATGCATTTGCTTTTATAATGGTCTGTTATGTAAAAGAAAATGCACAATTCTTGAAATACAATAACAGTTCACTTGGAAAATAACCATGAATTTTAACACGCTTGTAAATTCAGCAAATAACCATGAATTTGACCATGGATTTTATGTGATTGCTAAGGTTATTGGAAATAACCATGGAATTTTACATTCTAGTAAATTAATTCTGCCAAAAAACCATGGGTTTTAGCAACACTTAGTCTAGTAAATTGAGCCAATAACAAAATGTAAATTTAGCCAATAATTAGGGATTTCATGTGACAGTAAATTTAGCCAAAAATTATGGATTTTTTTTCCAAATTTACAATGATTCAAGATGACATGTAACAACTAAACATGAATTTTGAGATGACAATAAAGTCAACCAGATGAAATTGATCTTAACATCTAGATCTAACATCAATTTGAAAGTAAAAATCCAGAATTATGAGGACTTTGAATTCTAAAGTATAATATAACAAACTAAATTTAGCGTACACAAATAAATGATCAAAACTTATATGACATAAATATGAACTAAATGAAATAAATACATAAATAAATATATGGTCAGAAAAGTATTTGAACTTTCATTCAATTTTTCTGAACGCTTCAAAATTTCAAAATATAATTTTAATGTCTCTATATCATTGTTACCTTGAAATATTTCAAATTCTCACCCTGAATTTGTGAAATGGACTTGCCTCGCTTTCAATTTGGAAGAGTCCATTATTAAATACAAGAGCAGCTTATAGTATAGACTATAAAGCCTGGTGAGACGTAACCCATAACCTGCCAAATTTCATAAATGGACTTGTCCAGGGTCAAAAGGTTATAAAGATTTTTTCTACGCTCAAATTCAAATCTAAAGTATTTAATTAGTCAGAAACCAAGGACAATGTTATAAAGAAATACTCAGAATCTACATGTATTTGAATGGTCAGAAACTGGCACAGAATATGAATTGACCGATGAAAATTCCCGAGATTCAAGCTTGATGCCAGGAAAAGGTATTATAACCTTAGGACCAGCTCTGAATGTACACTGACAAATGAAAATGCTGAAATTTGAGACTGTCTTAATCCTGGAAAAAGATTCATTACCATCAGGCCAGTTCTTGGACTGTCCATTATCAATTTGGGGATGTCAAGATGAAAATCATACGTTCATCAGACAACACTACAGAGCCTAGTCAGACTACACGGATGTGCAGACTTAGCCGGACTCTCCTTCAGGAGGTCATGGGTTAATGGACAGGCATGCTGACCTTGCTCTCTATACTGATTGCTGGATCTTTCTTCCAACCCATTAGTGATCAATGAGTTAATAAAGTTAAGTGCTGTGCTCTTTGAGAAATAAAATATACAATGCCATCTAATTACAATACAGTTCTACAAACTTTTTTTTAGAATGATGAAAAAAAATATCCCATGCTAAATAATAAAAAATTACATTCGAATAATCTACGCAAATACTGGACTATTTGAGCCGTGTCACGACAAAACCAACATAATGGGTTTGCAACCAGCATGGATCCAGACCAGCCTGTGCATCCGCGCAGTCTGATCAGGATCCATGCTGTTCCCTTACAAACCCTATTACAAGTAGAGAAACTGATAGCAAACAGCATGGATCCTGATCAGACTGCGCGGATTTTGTTGGTTATGTCGTGACGCGGCTCATTTAAACATTTCACGATTTCTGGACCACATTTAAACAAAGCCTTTTAAGCATAAACAAGATTCTCATTCTGCTTTATCCATTTAAATTTCATATTCTCCAATAAATTCTAAAACTCAATAAATACAAAATGCAATTGTAAATTTAAACAAAATACAAGCTGATTTTGAATGGAAATTCCACATTTTGAATAATGAACCCAAAACTAGCAGCATGGTCAAAACCTCAAGCCTAACAGTCTGAACTCAAACAGTAGTCATCCAAAGTGTTGACTTATATAAAGAACAAACTGTATTCATAATCATAGTAAATTAATCAATTAATTAATCAATTAATTATTATAAGTCATCTAGAATTCCGACTTATGTAAAGGACAGTCATACACTATATTCATAATCATAGTTAATCAATCAATTAATTAATCAATTAATTATTCTAAGTCATCCAAAATTTGATTATTCTCTTTACCTAAATACAGTCTGAATTCAAATGTAACAATGTTTAAATGTGGTCCGCTCTTTATCCCTTAGCCTGCCGAATTTGTGTAATGGATCATCCCAGCTTTGAATTTGGAACAGTCCATATTCAAAGTTTAAGGGATTTCACCATCAAAACACAAAAGTTGAGCTACCAACAGTATAGAGCCTGGTCAGACTGCACGGATGTGCAGGCTGGCCTGGCTCTATACTGGTGGCAAAGGCTGACTATTTTTTTGTTCCAGCAGGTGGAGGGTATATCTGACAATACTGTGCTAGGAAAGGAATGAATCGTCTTACTGTTAGAGTTGAAATTTCTTTAGAGTATGCACCGATTTCTTTAGCTGCCTTGGCATCTTGCTGTAGATCACACAGAGAGAGAGAAAAGAAAAACATAAACAAATAAAGCAAAATAATAAGGATATAAAAACCACCATTTTGTAATATATGTATTATATTGTGAAGCGCTATAGATAACAAAGCAACAAAATTCAAATTGAATAAAAAAAAAATTCCATTCAAAAAGAGAAGAAGGGCTGTTCATCAGACAGCGTACTCAACTATTTTCACTGAATTTGCACTTATAGTATAGTATAGTATATATAGTGGTCAGTAACAACAAGTCTTAACAAGAGTAATGGGTGATCTAATGGTCCCTAGCCACATGGGTGTTGTTTCCTTGAGCAAGAAACTTTACACTCATTGCTCAGAACTGGTATGTTCTAGGAATGGATTCCAAAGTGTGTCCACATCCGTGCAGTCTGACCAGGCTCTATACTGTTGTGTCACATGTGATCAGTGATCACATGTGTTGCCTGATGATAGCCAATTACATGTTGTAGCTACTCTGTACACAAAAATCATTAACAGGCCAATTCAAGGGCCATAACTCATTCAAGTGGAAAACCCATGTAATATGTGCAAATACTTGAGCTACTACTGTTCAACAGTGTATAGTTTCATTGAAATTAGTGGTATAAGATGAGTAGTCTGGATAAAAATCATTAAAGGGGCCATTATAAAACTCTTGAGAAAAATCATTGATCATTCCTGTAAAGTTTGGATGAAATTGCACCAGGAGTTTCTGAGGAGTGGTTCGGACTCTGTAGCAGGCAACACATAAAGACCTTGTTATGTTAAAAAAAAGTTGTGAAATGGATAAAGTTCTGAAAATTGTGAATAAAATTGGATGTTTCAAAAAATTATGTAAAAGATCTCAGTGAATAAATTAGGCATACACCAAATTGATGGTAATTGGCAAGTCTTATACTTTTAAAGCAAAAGCTGAAGAGCTCCTGAGTAAAAGTGGGGTGGCAGTGGAATGCCAGACTTATATATTCATATAATCTCCATATACATATATATAAATTAATAAATGGGAAAGCCAATTGAAAGTAAATAGCAATTATTCAATAATTTTCTGCAAGTAAAATGTTATAACCAATAACATTGGGATACCTTTTATTAAATTAATAATACAACACCAAACATATATCTAGGGGGTTGCTTAAAAAAAAGGAAGAAGACTTTTCCTGTTGTCAGACAAAGTCCTTAAATCAAGAACACTACAGAATGGATATAACTCCATACAGAGTTGGAGCAATCCCTCTAGACACTTGCAGAAATCATGATCACAAAATAGACAAACATCTTTTTTTTTGCCCATTCTTACTCTTTTCATTTATGATCGTATATAAATCGGTTTGAAGAGATGAATTAAGATATTTCAAAGTTCATTCCGTTGCGTGAAAAAGCGAGATTTTAGCATTTAATCATTGAAGCGCCTTGTACGGTATATACCAGAATACGTAATCACCATATTTAGTGTGGTGCTCCAATTCTTTCTTTAGTCTTGTACCTATTAAGTATTAATATTGTAAAACATGTTTTAGACATTGTATTTCATAATTTATGCTTATTTCCAATAGAAAATTTCTGTTCACTACCATTACTTCTTTCAACAGAAAAGTCAATTAACATAGAAAAACAATTTTATTTCATTACTGTAATAATTCAACCACATATACATGTATTCACTAATATTGACATGAATTATTATACCAGTGACCTACAAACACAGTGACCTAAAAACACAGATCTAAACAAAAGACGCCACATGCTATAAAATAAATATATTCACAAAATGGTGGTTTAAGCAAAAATAAAAAGTTACAACAAAACTTTATGTAAAAACAACATATAGACAGAGTTTTGGTAATTTCCAAATATCTTTCTCTGTCATATTTCTACATTGAAATGAATAAGATTCAGTATTGAAAAGAATATGTAGTGATGAAATAGGGCAAACTAATTAAGTAATCTACATTGTTTTTTAGATAATTAAATAAATGACAAAACATAAATTGAAAAATAAAGAAACAACAGCATGAGGGTTTACTATATAATATCTATAACAAAATATCTCGTCAAAAAACATAATACACTTAGATGTACATTTAAGTTAATTTAGCGAAATTTCAACATATTTATATAAGGTAAACTGTAAAGGAATCTTGCTGCTTATCCTACACCACTCTCTACTCTGCTTCCTGGAGCTACTGGTTTCATCTGACAAAACATGGTCATGACCACAGTAGGGTTTGAACCCATGATCCCTGGGCCTAGAGGCAGACACCTTAATTATGAGGAGGAAGAACTTTGTTTTTTGGGTTTTTTTTACTAACATACTGAAACAATTTCATTTTTTTTTTAATAATCATTTTTTTTATATTTTCACTTTTTCTTCATTCAGTATAATTTTTTTTGAAATTTTCTTCACAATGAGATATATCACATATTATCACTCCAAATGAATCAATTTTTATCCAGCAAACAATTTCAATGAAACAAACAACCAGCAAATATCAAAAACCAAACCAAATCATGCAAGCTGTCCATTAAAAAGCAGGGTATCAGTAACCAGTTTTGAAAGAAGAGCTTTAATGATTAGTCAAATTCAAATGTGTTTCTGATTATCAAACCAATCAAATTAACTCTAAGTTTTTGACTGGTTTCCAAATGCAAAATTCAGAACATTAAACCCAAAGATATCTTCACAAAGGCAAACATTGGGCAGATTATTATTTTTTTAATTTTAAAAACTTAAAAAGCAAAATATACTTCAAACTCAAAAATACCACACAACACGGAAAAGCTTAAGATTTTAGAAATAAGCTATAAACTTTTTAAACAAGAACACAACACCAAAAATATCAGGCCATGTCAAGTCATGGGTTTCAATCGTTTTCTTTTTCTCTTTCCTTATAAAATTGTCTAGAAAAATTTCATGAACAAATTATCACAGATTATTTCAATAGTACAGTTTATTTGTACCATCTTAAACTGAACCTATCCAATGCAAGGAGTTGTAAAAAAAATACAAATGGCCGTTCAGATTAGGTTGATTTTTAACCAGTCAGTTGCAACTCTTGAAAAAAAATCAAAAGGTGACAAAACTTTACAATAATTACTTACACCTATTTGTGCCTTATACCTGTTTATTACGACAGGATGTCAGAAAATCGGAAATTTTGCGGGTTTTTTTCCATTTCTTTTCTTTTCTCTTTTAAAATGGATCAAAATAGTTCTTTTTTTCCTTCTCTTTTTAAATGGATCAAAATTTTTTTTAAATCATATAAAGTTCTACTGACCTCTTTCCCCTGATATTGTAAGGCACTTATTTTGAGTTTATCAAAGGGTAGAGCTAGATCTAGCGGACAAATGAAACCTTCGGCTTCCGTTTCCGACTTGCTTCGTTTGTGACCAAATAAACCAAATTTTCCTTTCTGAAAAGCACATGAAAAGCAGAAGATAAAGCTGTGCTATAAAAATAAAGTAATAAATTTTAACATTTATTCTAATAATAACGTAGGAAAGTTGTCAATATATTCTAGTGACAAAATACTTGGTAAATAAAACAACATGCATCTTTACAAAAACCTTTACAAAAACCTATGACAAACTAAACATCATGTCAAATGATACAACTGGGTACTGTAAGTTATGTTATTTCTTATATCTGCCTAAGTCCTTCCTTCCTCAATGACAAGGCCCTACACTACTTGTATGGACTGTACTTATGATTTACCCATTAAATAACATAAGCAGGGAATGGGATATATTGAACATTCAACTTCAAATCATGTTGAAGGGGAAAATTATCACACTACTGTCTGGGACTCATTTTTATTTTTTCATATTCTGCCAACATAATTTCAGTAAAAGTCTCTACCAGTACCCTCACTAATGACTTAACTAATGCAAATCAGGGATATAAGGAGTCTTTTGGGGGTAATTGCAGTCTTAACGGCACTTACAGTCTGTAAGGGAGCATTTTACTGTCTATAAAGGGGCATTTTACTGTCTTTAAAGGGGCATTAATTTTGCAATCTTTTTAGGGGTTTTACTGTCTTTAAAGGGGCATTAATTTTGCAGTCTTTTAAGAGGTTTTACTGTCTATAAAGGGGCATTAATTTTGCAGTCTTTAAAGGAGTTTTACTGTCTTTAAAGGGGCATTAATTTTGCAGTCTTTTAAGGGGTTTTACTGTCTATAAAGGGGCATTAATTTTGCAGTCTTTAAAGGGGGTTTACTGTCTTTAAAGGGGCATAAATTTTGCAGTCTTTTTAGGGGTTTACTGTCTTTAAAGGGGCATTAATTTTGCAGTCTTTTTAGGGGTTTTACTGTCTTTAAAGGGGCATTAATTTTGCAGTCTTTTTAGGGGTTTTACTGTCTTTAAAGGGGCATTAATTTTGCAGTCTTTTTAGGGGCATTTTTACTGTCTTTAAAGGGGCATTAATTTTGCAGTCTTTTTTAGGGGTTTTACTGTCTTTAAAGGGGCATTAATTTTGCAGTCTTTTTAGGGGTTTTACTGTCTTTAAAGGGGCATTAATTTTGCAGTCTTTTTAGTTTTTTTTTGTCTTTAAAGGGGCATTAATTTTGCAGTCTTTTTAGGGGTTTTACTGTCTTTAAAGGGGCATTAATTTTGCAGTCTTTTTAGGGGTTTTACTGTCTTTAAAGGGGCATTAATTTTGCAGTCTTTTAAGGGGTTTTACTGTCTTTAAAGGGCATTAATTTTGCAGTCTTTTTAGGGTTTTTACTGTCTTTAAAGGGGCATTAATTTTGCAGTCTATTTAGGGGTTTTACTGTCTTTAAAGGGGGCATTAATTTTGCAGTCCTTTTAGGGGTTTTTACTGTCTTTAACGGGGCATTAATTTTGCAGTCTTTTTAGGGGTTTTACTGTCTATAAAAGGGCATTAATTTTGCAGTCTTTTTAGGGGTTTTACTGTCTTTAAAGGGGCATTAATTTTGCAGTCTTTTAAGAGGTTTTACTGTCTATAAAGGGCATTAATTTTGCAGTCTTTAAAGGAGTTTTACTGTCTTTAAAGGGGCATTAATTTTGCAGTCTTTTAAGGGGTTTTACTGTCTATAAAGGGGCATTAATTTTGCAGTCTTTAAAGGGGTTTACTGTCTTTAAAGGGGCATAAATTTTGCAGTCTTTTTAGGGGTTTACTGTCTTTAAAGGGGCATTAATTTTGCAGTCTTTTTAGGGGTTTTACTGTCTTTAAAGGGGGCATTAATTTTGCAGTCCTTTTAGGGGTTTTACTGTCTTTAAAGGGGCATTAATTTTGCAGTCTTTTTAGGGGTTTTACTGTCTATAAAAGGGCATTAATTTTGCAGTCTTTTTAGGGGTTTCACTGTCTTTAAAGGGGCATTAATTTTGCAGTCTTTTTACGGGTTTTACTGTCTTTAAAGGGGCATTAATTTTGCAGTCCTTTTAGGGGTTTTACTGTCTTTAAAGGGGCATTCATTTTGCAGACTTTTTAGGGGCCTTTAAGGTTTTCAGTCCTTTTAGGAACATCAAAACTTTCAGGGGTATTTGAAGTCTTTTTGGAGGTATTTTCCATCTTTGCAACTCAAGCAGTCTTTGAAGCAGCATTTGCAGTCATTTTCGGGAATTTGAAGACTTTTTCAAGACATATGCAGTCCTTATAGGAGTATTTGAAGTTTTCAGTCTTTTTAGGGACATATGCAGTCCAAGAGGCATTTGCAGTCTTTTTTAGAGGCAGTTGAATCTTTTTTAGAGGGGCATTTGAAATACTTTTAGGGCATTTGCAGTCTAAGAGGCATTTCCAGTCTTTTTTAGGGGCAGTTGAAGTTTTTTTGGGGCATTTGCCGGCAGTTAAAGTTTTTTTGGGGCATTTGCTGTCTTTTCATAAGTATTTGCAGTCCTTGTAGGAGCATTTGAAGTTTTCAGTCTTTTCAGAGGCATTTGTAGTCTAAGAGGCATTTAAAGTCTTTTTATAGGGGCATCTGAAGAGAGCATGATAATGAAGGTTGACCACAAACTTATATGAAGTAAAATAGGACTTGCAACAGTTTTGCTGTCCAGTCCTAGTTGATATTATGACCCAACAAAAAATATAATTGAGCTGCGTCACGACAAAATCAACATAATGGGTTTGCGACCAGCATGGATCCAGATCAGCCTGCGCATCCGCGCAGTCTGATCAGGATCCATGCTGTTCGCTATTAGTTTCTTTACTTGTAATAGGGTCTGTAAGCGAACAGCATGGATCCTGATCAGACTGCGCGGACGCGCAGGCTGGTCTGGATCCATGCTGGTCGCAAACCCATTATGTTGGTTTTGTCAAAACACGGCTCATATATTAACTCACCTTGACTTTAGCATTTGGCACCAGCGGTATGTATCCCGGGGAAGACTCTTGCTCCCGTTTCTTTATTTGTATTTCGTTGCCGACCAGCGACACAAAATGCGTGTTTAGATGGCGTCTTAACAACGTCTTGTTTTGCGGAATAGACAATAACACAGCAAATAGCTCAGCATTAAACCTGCTTTCTAATACCTGAAATAGGGAAAAGTTGTGATTATTTACTAAAGTCATGCATAAAATAAGTTTATATGACATGCATTTACTAGCCCTTGCAACAGATTGCCTATAGATGACAGTCTAATTTTTTACACTATCTACCATTTAAACTCAATTTAAAAGTTATCTTTTACAGTACCAAATCACACCAACACTTGAAAGGTCATGAGGTCACTTTCTACTTTTATAAGAAGAGAAAGACCCAAGTTGAACTTCCAATTTTCTGCAAGTTATCTGGATCATTAACTGAAAGTATCCAAAATCCGTGGCAGGATTCAATCCATCAACAATAAGCGGCGAGTGAATCATAGTCAGGTATCTTGACCATTTACCAATTTCATCGGCTTTTGTGACCTGCTTAGGGCTAGGTTTACAGTATACTTCTCTTCATTGAAGGCTTTATAAAGAAGTTATCTTTATATTTATTATATAAAGGTTATGTATACAAGTTATTTTTACATCATTTATATTGTGTTATAAGAATCTTACACTGGCTGTCGGTACAGACCGGAATATCTAGCTCAAGGGTAACTGTTAACAGGGGTAACAAGGCTCTTCTGAGTTTCTGCTTAACAGTTACCCCAGAGCTAGATTTTCTTGTTTGTACCGACAGCCAGTGTTGGATTCATTATTTTGCATATTAAATGTCAATTATTTTTGGAAAAGAAATTACGAAAACTGATATTTTCATTACACACTTTTCTCTTATAGTGTGTATGAACTTACAAACTTCTTTCATAATGATACAATGACGTCATCCTTAGAACGCAATTCATTCACAAAAAGGCTTGCAGCAATGGCCTCGTTTAAAGCATGTGACTTGTCTTACATGGGGGGTGTAAGACAGGGTTTTACAGCTCCGGTATTAACGGGAGATAATCCTCTCTGATATGCAAGAAAAAGAGTATTTACCATGAGAGCACCATGAACCCCACTTCCTCGCATATTTGGAGCGTATTCTGAGAGATCTATCGTTCGTAACCATTCCATCACTCTGTGATTTGTCCACAATGCAACATCACCTGGTATATTATGCAACGTTCCCTGAAGGAAGTAAAACAATACAATTATAGAAATACTAAAAATACATTTAATTAAACACGCAGTCAAACGCAAAGTATTCTTCAACCAACACAACATGCCTGCGTGAACCAATGACCAGTACTGAGTAAAGCCAACCTCTAGTCTACAAAATTTCAATATATACACACTGAAACATCAGTTAAGCCATAACTTCATAAGCACGCTGTTCCATGCAGTATATAGGTGATTGATATATAAACAGCCTTTCCCGCCAATGTAGAAAGACCCTCATAAACGATGATCAACGCTTTACACTATATATGTTTAGTAAACAACATTCCACGCTATTGAATTAATAAAGGACTGATCCAGATTCAAGGCAGGGCAATTTCATACGAAGCAGCCTTAGATTAAAGTACTATACACATATAATATATGCACTTCATTTTAAATAATAACTTAACTATAAGAAATATGATAATGTATTGATGTCAATTAAATGTGTCTTACTTCATCAGGGGACGGTCTACGTTTCAGACAGCCGGGATTAAAGTTGTTTAATCGTAAGATCTGTATACCACGTTTTATACTGTAGTGATGAAGTTCATTGCTCACTTTAAGTGCTAATAAATCCTCCTGAAAATATACATAACATGTAGCTTTAAAATAAATAAAATTCTATTTACTCGGCTATAAGACGGGTTACTTATTATAAGTCAGGGGTCTTAATTTAACGCAACAATTGTATTTTCGTTTGACTCACTTGTAAGACGAGCATAAATCTTGCTAGACAGTACACTGTTATAAGACATATAGTTTATATGACAAGGGATTTGAATTTTACGTCAACATCAGCAATATTTTGCTTCCATTGTCACATATAGATAGAGTTGAATTCCATTTATGTCACCAAAAGTTTTAAAGGAAAATATTAAATTTTGTGCTTCGCTCAAAAAAAATTTTCATTAATATTCAATAGGATAAGAACAAAGAAGTTATCATTCAGAAAGCTTTCAATGAAAATGATAAGCAATAACTTGCTTATTTTTTTTTTTTATTTTATTTTTTTTTACGAATCTTTGCATGTAGAAAGTCATGTTTTTTTCATGTGCGTTTAGAAAATTTGTTATTTCATCATGACAAGGCATTTTAATAACATCTTAATTCAACAAGAACTGATTAAATCTCCATGATGAGAACCTCTTGTGAGAATGAAGAAATACCTTGAACGTCTTGTATAATGTTATTTCATGTTCCCACCCAAACTAAGTATTGTTTCTTGAGCTGACACTTTCACTTACCACGAGTCGAAATGTTGGTAATCATCAATAAGCAATCTTTAAAACTTAAAATCTGTACCGTTTGTTCATTCCACTTTATTAATATTGCAAATAACAACACATTATGTTTAAAATAAAACAACTTACAACAGTCAGAGCATGTAACATTCTACCATCAACTCTTGCATCGAAGAAGGCATCTTTGTATTGAGGCAATCCTATGTCATCTAGCCATCCTATAAATGTTAAACACAACCATGAGAAACTGCAATCTAAGAATAATTAAACTTTTTTTTTTTTCCGAGTTTTGTGACAAATGTTAGGATTTTCATTGGTCAATGTACATTCTGTGGCAATTTTTGACCAATCAAATACCCAAGATCTGACTTTCATCTCAAACTAGAAATGTGCTGTCACGCCACGGATGCCCCCGCATGCAACCAAAATTTAGTTCCAAATTTGTTTGCACAAATTGTTTTTTTCATTTTAAGTTCAAAGCCCTTAAAACTATTCAATGTTAACACAAACCATTTTTATACAAAGTTCAAGGCACTGAAACTATTCAGTGTTAACCTTTCGTAAATTGCATATTTGTAGCCAAAATAATGGCTACATACATTTCCACAAAAGTACGAGTGCTGAAACTGAAAATTTGACCTGTGAAAGCCGGAAAAGATTTTTCTATTTATAGCTCTGGTTGCCATTTTGTGCACCCAAGAAGAATGTGTGGGCGATATGCATAACTAGTGTTGGTACTGATTACTCCTGTGAAGTTTTAATGAAAACCAGTTCTGGAACCAGTGTCATGTGTAAATTCTTCAGTGACAAGGAAGTATAAAAGTGTGACAACTTACGCATGACCCAAGTATGATCCAGATCCCCGGCCTTAGATAAATTCCCTGAATTCATTGCTTGCAATGCTAACTGTAACTTCTTCTTGTGTAGTGGATTCCTCATATTTAGTTCCTGCAATGTATTCCAAGCATAAAATTTACAATGTTTTCCAAGCATAACATTTATAATGTATTCTAAGCATAAAATTTATAATGTATTCCAAGCATAAGATTTATAATGAATTCCAAGCATAAAATTCATAATGTATTCTAAGCATAAAATTTATATTCCAAGCATAAAATTTATTATGTATTCAAAGCATGAATTTATTTTCCAAGCATGAAATTTATAGTGTGTTCCAAACAAAAAATTTACAATGTTTTCCAAGCATAAAATTTATAATGTATTCCAAGCATAAATTTATTTTCCAAGCATGAAATTTACAATGTGTTCCAAGCATAAAATTTACAATGTATTCAAAGCATGAAATTTAAAATGTATTCCAAGCATAAATTTATTTTCCAAGCATGAAATTTACAATGTGTTCCAAGCATAAAATTTACAATGTATTCCAAGCAAAAAATTTACAATATATTCCAAGCATATCATTTACAATATAGTCTGAGCAAAAATTTTACAATGTATTCCAAGCATATAATTTACAATATATTTCAAGCATATAATTGACTATGAATTCACATCATGAAATGCATAATGAATTTCAATGTAATTGTAAATTGCAAACAAAATAGTCCCTTCACTGCAGAGCACTAATTTTTTTGTTTCACTATTACATCCCCCACCCAATTTTCTTTTCTCCCCTAGATTAAGTTACCTTTTCTAATTCGTGAGGTGAGGCTTTCAAAAGCTGGTCTCCATTTCGGCACCATCGTCTTAACTCTGCTAAATACATGTTGAGTCCAATTTCATTGAACCATGACACAATACGATCCCTGTCCCAGCGGGCAAATGGCACACTCAAATCACTGTAATAATGAGAAATGTCAAAGAATTCATGTCCCTCAACTTATAAATTGCTTGATTGAAGCTTCTTAGTAATATGTACCTCAGAAAAGAAGGTGAAAATCTTTACCTCAGAAAAAAGGTGAAAATCTGTACCTCAGAAAAGGAGGTGTGAAAATCTATACCTCAGAAAAGGAGGTGTTGTACCTCAGAAAAGGAGGTGAAAATCTGTACCTCAGAAAAGGAGGTGTGAAAACTTTTACCTAAGAAAAGGAGGTGTGAAAAACTGTACCTCAGAAAAGGAGGTGTGAAAATCTGTACCTCAAAAAAGGAGGTGAAAATCTACACCTCAGAAAATGAGGTGAAAATCTGTACCTCAGAAAAGGAGGTGAAAATCTGTACCTCAGAAAATGAGCTGAAAATCTGTACCTCAGAAAAGGAGGTAAAATCTGTACCTCAGAAAAGGAGGTGTGAAAACTTTTACCTAAGAAAAGGAGGTGTGAAAATCTATACCTCAGAAAAGGAGGTGTGAAAACTTTTACCTAAGAAAAGGAGGTGTGAAAAACTATACCTCAGAAAAGGAGGTGTGAAAATCTGTACCTCAAAAAAGGAGGTGAAAATCTGTACCTCAGAAAAGGAGGTGAAAATCTGTACCTCAGAAAAGGAGATGAAAATCTGTACCTCAGAAAAGGAAGTGAAAATCTGTACCTCAGAAAAGGAGGTGTGAAAACTTTTACCTCAGAAAAGGAAGTGAAAATCTGTACTTCAGAAAAGGAGGTGTGAAAACTTTCACCTAAGAAAAGGAGGTGTGAAAATCTATACCTCAGAAAAGGAGTTGTGAAAATCTATATGTGAGAAAAGGAGGTGTGAAAATCTATACCTCAGAAAAGGAGGTGAAAATCTGTACCTCAGAAAATGAGGTGTGAAAATCTATACCTCAGAAAAGGAGGTGAAAATCTGTACCTAAGAAAATGAGGTGAAAATCTATACCTCAGAAAAGGAGGTAAAATTCTGTATCTCAGAAAAGGAGGTAAAAAACAAATTTGGTATATTCAGTTATTACACAGCCTACAAAATATCAGCTGTATTGAGCAAAAATAGCTCGAGAAAAAGAAGTCCTTTTGAGATATAACAACATTAAAATTCATTATTCCATCACTTGGACATTTATTTGCAAGAATTACAAAAGATGCTTTTCATACAGAAATTTTCTCCCCTGGTCGCCATTTTAAGGGTTATTCGCAATATATCATATGCTGAAGATAAGATAAAAATTTCACATAATTCTATCATCTTCATGATAACTGATTAAAGTATTTACATATTGGAGCTTTTATAATATTTAACTGTTGGAGGAAAACTTCAGGTGCCCCTTTATGCATTATTTCAGGCACAAGCATTATTTCAGACATGAGCATTATTTCAGATTTGAGCATTATTTCAGATTTGAGCATCATTTCAGATTTGAGCATCATTTCAGATTTGAGCATTATTTCAGACACAAGCATTATTTCAGACACAAGCATTATTTCAGACACAAGCATTTTTTCAGAAGCAAGCATTATTTCAGACACAAGCATTTTTTCAGACACAAGCATTATTTCAGACAAAAGCATTTTTTCAGACACAAGCAGGCACCTGATTAGAAGAACCAACACTTAGCTCTAGCATCTTCACATGAAAGTATATGGCGGGATTTTAACCCACAGTGGTAAGAGGCTAAATGGGTTGAAGACCTTAACCACTCAGCCATGGTTGGGACTCTTGTGAACCATTCAGGTGGCAATGGTAAATGGACCAATCATAAACACAAACAGTGTAACCAGTTTTATACCTGGCATGATTTTTTGCCATGGTTTCGGACATCAGAAAATCATTTGAGCCGTGTCACGACAAAACCAACATAGTGGGTTTGCGACCAGCATGCAAGCATCCGCGCAGTCTGATCAGGATCCATGCTGTTCGCTTACAAACCCTATAACAAGTAGAGAAACTGATAGCGAACAGCATGGATCCTGATCAGACTGCGCGGATGCGCAGGCTGGTCTGGATCCATGCTGATCGCAAAACCATTATGTTGGTTTTGTCGCGACACGGCTCAGTCTTTATAATAAACTTACTGCTCTCTCTTTACATCCTTGGACCAGCCAAGTCGTGCTGTAGCGGTTGCCCGTATACCACCACGTCTAAACTCTTCCGTTCTCTCACGCTCATGGAAGTCTTGCGAACCACTCCGTTTTAACCTAAAACCCCAACATGTTTGTTTTTTTCTTATAACTTGTTTAGCTATTATTTTCCACATTACTTGCAAATTACTTGTTTCTATTATGTATAATAGTAAAGTGAACCATTCATTTCCTGATTTTCTATTTTGAGAAGCAAACGTCACTGTCGCGCTATAAATAGCTCTCAGGACGCTGTGTTGAAAAAGGCTTTACAGTGATATGATGCATTTTTCCAAGATAAAGTTACTGATATACTTAGTTTGAAACAACATAGAATTACTATTTTCTTACAAAATATAAAAGTTGAAAGCCGCTTTAAGTAGAAATTCATTATCCTTGGAAGTAAGTCTGAAATGGATATTTATTAAAATTTTGGATTCAAGAAAATAAATAAGTGACTGAAGGGTAGACAGAAAGAAGTAAGGAGCATCAACAAGCCAGAGACTAAATACATCTCAGAGCATTAAAATATGTTTTTTGTTACCTGCCAAAGAACCTTAAGAAACCTTTTTTCTTCTTCACCTCTGGATGATACGAGCCCGCCGAGTTTCCGACGTAATTTGGATCTTCATCGTCTGTAACAGCTTCTGCTTGAGCTGTATGAATAGTAACAGATCTATTTTTAAACATTATGTCATACAATCTATATAGTAACCAATCTTATGATATTCATAGACTGGTTTTCACTGAAGACTTACATGTATAGGAGAGAAGTGAACACCCAGAGAAGAGAAACACAGTTTTAGAATTGTACAAACATGCTTAAATTGGGCTATAACAATCAAGTATACATGCAAAGGGGGAGTTGTACAGCAAAGTGCAACCTCTGTGATTTTGCTTGATTAAGTCAACTTTATTAACCATTAACATGCTGAATATTTTAAATGGACTTGTCCCATTTCCATTTTTTGGGACTGTCCATTATCAATTTTAGGGATATCAATTTGAATATGTAAAGTTTGTCAGCCAACAGTATAGAGCCTGGTCAGACTGCACGGATGTGCAGGCTGGCCTGGCTCTATGCTGGTGGCAAAGGCTTAAAGCTTTCGGTTCCAGCATTTTAAGGGTTAACAAAAAACTAAGGACTGTACCACAAAAAACAAAGTATTACTAGATTATGCACCAGTACTTAAAAGTTTTTCCGAAATTCAGTAACAAAATGTAGGTACTGGCAGCTTTAATATTTGCTGGATTCACATCTAATTACAAGCATCCAATGATTTTTATAGTATTTTGTTTCATTAGAGTTTTTTTTGTTTAAATGGATATAAAATTTTGTAATAAATGAAAACTTGCTTCAATGAAGGAAATTATAAAAATCACAGAGGTTGTACATTATAAAGTGATCTCAAAATGCACAAAGTGATTTTTTTCTCTAAACTGTTTAATGTTTATCTTCTCTGGGTGTCAAGACACATGTACCATAATTGCACAAAAGCAGCTTGCGTGTCTTATCTAAAAGCTTCATATGCGTTAACCGCAAACTATTATTCCAGGAGTTTTTATTACAACATTATCTTCAACTTTGGGTTTTCCAGACAATTAAGTTGTTATAATGTTGAATAGACATACTCGGATAATCAAGAATATTTGGGTTTTTTCTAAGCTAATTTGAGGGTACGTACAAACTTTTACAGTTATAACATGGTTAATGTATCAAAAATAAACACAACACGTTTGCCACGGTTTGTGTTGTGTTGGTCACCCCTATTGTGAATGGTTTTGCACCATGAAGCTATAGCATTAAAAGTTTGAAACCCTTGATGGGAAAAACCCCAAGTTTCCCGAAAACCAGACGACATCTATGATCTATTTGAACACTAAGTCTTGTTTTACTAGTGCAACAATACTGCATTTATTAAAGCAGGAAAGAGAAATTTAAGCAGGGTCAAGCAAGTGGTATGAAAACCTCTGCCTATCCTTTTTTTCCCAGTTTAAAACATAAAACTGGTATTTCTAACACTTCAGAAAATGCAGCTAGATTTGGGTAAATATTTTGCAACACAAAAATGTCTAAGGAAATTCCACCTACTGTCTTGTACATTGTACAAACCCATTGGCTGACATATGAAACTGTTCCCAAATGTCAGCCAATCAGAACACATGTAACATGGAATAGGAAATTTAAAGCTCTGCAGCCTGGTTTGAAAATTCACAAAGCAAATTTACCTTTTGTCTAGATTAATAATACATACCTTTATGGCTGAAAAAAGAATGCATTATTTAATTTACCATACCAGTCAGTTAGACAAACTCTCATTTAAAATTCAAGTTTTGATTTGTTGCAGTTACGCTCATACAGTAATAGTGATATGAACTCTTTTTATGTAATTATTTACGAATGACATTCTAGCTCTATTTTTTCCTGGTTGCTATGCTGATTTCATCATTTGGTCATATCTCAGAGCAGTCAATCCACCTAATTTGCTATGCTGGATAACTAACCAGTAAATACTATTTTCCCACAAGTGATTTTATCCCATTTCATTTCTGAACCGGAAGTGAGTGAAATTGCATTAGGAACAATGTCCGGTATCAAATGTAACAGAGAAACCACGCCTTGCCCGAGGATCGAACTATCGTACAAGTACTTATTTCTGCTGGGTTAATATTCTACGATTTTTGTTAAAATAGGGGGTTTTAAATTTCTGACTATGTCTCTTATTTCTGCAGTGTCATCATTCTCGCATTGTTACGTTTTATTTCTGCGTTTTAATTTAGATTAACCAATACAAACAGAAAATATTGAAAAGCTTGACTGACTGGTATGGTAGTATGGAAGGATCCAGATTAAAAATCAGGATACATAAATGCTTATATGATGTTATAGCAGAATATATGATGTTATATGATCAGCCACAGAGAGTTTTTATGCTTTCGAGAATAAACGCAGAGTAAAGTTATTGTGTTACAAGAATATACAATAATAGAAGCTGTATTGAAATTGCAAAGCTTCAGAATAAGTATGTTATAAATATGAGATTTTTTTTTTTTAACCATAATTTCTATTTGACATAAAATGTACAAATTTTGAATTTCAATCAAAAGTATTAACTATATCCATCATTATACACGTAAGTTTAAACAAGAGACCAGTCTGACAACTCAAGCACATCATTGGTTAATTCTGGAAGCTATTTTGTAATTCACCAATGAAAAGTGTCTGATTTATCAGACTGGTCTCCATTCCATAAATAGATATAATGAACCCAAAGTATTTAAAACATTCTGGATCCTTCCGTGTTGTATAATATCATATACAATACATTAGCAATAAGGTTTAAAAAGGCTTCATATTTCAATATAAACATATTCATATATTATAATATGTGATTCCTATATTTTTAGCAGGGAACCAGTTCAAAATGCACAATTGCCATTAAATCTGTGTTCTGAGTCAACCAATCAAATGCTAGAACTTGAGACTGGTCCCACTGCTATCATATTATAATTACGCTTGATGCCGGGTACAAAACTAACATATACAACTACAATGTACGCCATCATAAATATATATAACGCCATCATAAATATAATTATATAACATCTTTGATGGTATTTCATAGGATAGTATAGATACTTCTTTTTCTTTCATTATATGTTAAACAAAATCTGATTTTGTTAAGACAGTTTCTAGATATTTCACAGTGATATTTTTTTCTTCACTTTCCAAAAAAGTTTCATAGAAACACATTTATCTTTTTCACTCTTTCAAATTGTCAACAGAAATCAATCTATTTTAAAGAAAAAATCTTGTTTTTTAACAAGTTTCAAACACATTTCTTTTCAGTATATTCTCTAGATTTTTTAGGTGTTTTTTCTCCCAAATATTATAACTCCCATGTAATCTACATGTAGGAGCTATCTTCTTTTTCTCTAAAACAAGGTAAAAATTTTCGTTTATCTTCCATTTTCCTGCTGATTGAAAAACCTAACAGGAAATAAACATGTATCTATGTAATCAAAACTTTTCTACCTTCAAAAAAGAAGAGTTTATTATCATTACTTTTCTAACCTCAAAAAAGAAGAGTTTATCCACAAGAGTATTAAGTTAAAATACGTTTTTTGTACCACTCACTGTGAAATATCTAAATATTCAATCTAAAATTTCTAGCATCTAAGTTCAGTGGATGCAAGATGCACACAAATTTCAGGCATGAAAACTCATTCTCAATCATTCCAACTTCAACGATACACATTTCAAATAAATCCCTGACTTTGGCGTTCTTCTATCTTATCTGATGAAACTTATATCAGTGGGATTTACAAAATTAATACCTGAAAAACAACATGTTCCAAAATTCTATTTATTAATAATCTACTTTAAATCAGTAGCTAAAATGGGGAGAAAATGCACTTCTTTTGCTGCAATGGGATAATTTATCAAATTTTCATTACAAAAATATCTCAAGATTTATCTATATATCTCCAAGTTTTGCTTTTCTCTTGTAACATTTTACAAAAACTTGGATGTCATTCAAAAAAACACTGCTCTTTCTACACTCCCATCCCTCTCTTTCCATCCCTGTTCCCATATAAACTTGTTAAACGAATGGACATCTCCAGGGGTTTAACCATATCGACGAATTATAAACAATTTTTGGTTAACTGGTATAGTAACTTGATACATTTCTCTTACCAAATTTTACATCTACTACAGAAACACCTAACCATTGCCCCTTGTGATGTAACGATATTACAAATTTACCAAAATTCCAATTAAATAGTGACCACACGCTAATACAGAGTTAAACATGACATCTAGCACTAGCAAATAACTAAGCAGGAAGAAATAAAGAATTCTCAGAAAAAAAAAAAAAAAAAAAAGAAGAAACCTCATAGCCAATTTAAATCACCAAACAAAAAGATGTTGACCCACTTTTTTTTTTTTTCACAACTAAATACGCATAAACAAAAAGGTTGAATACTGATTATAGGAAAACGTAAAATTCGTTAGTGGACCAAGACACCGATCGTGTTAGTTTTCAGAGGTTACGTCAGTTATATACTGGTAACGGATATATAGAACACATGCTGCGAAACGCATTCTTAAACAGTATGCAGCAGGCATAAACTGTTTTATTCCGTCACCTAAATTGGGGGCCGAGCAACTGCGTTTCGTGGATTTAATTCGTAGAAGGGCTCTCCCAAAGGACGGGAAACCGCGTGATCTGCGGTGTTCACGATCATCTTCCCTATTTTTGACAATCATTTCCTTGGGTAACGTACCATAACTACCATTCCGCTTCACGACGTCCGTATGTCTTTTATTAGCGGGAGGCGTCTGCAATTTAAATTAAAGTGATCATTTTGTACATATTATATAATAAGGCGTCTGCAATACAGATAAATGCAATCATGTCATATACATGCATAAAGTAATGAATGTTAACTCTTAAACTATATATCAGCAACAGCTTCGACCCATGCGACCAGTGCAGACCCAGATCAGCAAGCACATCCATGCCGTCTGATCATGGTCTGCATCGTTTGCTATCCAATCATACTTGTTTTTGAAAAGTTCTCTAAAAATGATGGTTTAAACGATATAAAAGTCCATTTAAGATGCTTAACATGGTAAGGGTTAAATAGAAAGATCTATCCAATTGATTGAATGTTATTCTGTAACAGTATTATTTCATCAGAATATTTTAACATAACAGTTTAGTTTCTTTTTTCAACTGCAATAATAGTTAAAATTGGTCTGCTTCAACTAAATGTATGACTATGACATGATAATGCTTTTAACTTTATCTTTCAATCATAATTTTATCATTCATTATATTCTTTTTAAAACCTAAACTTAATCTTTACATTGATACCTTAATCCATACCTTCCATCTTTAACCTTTTAAAGATTTATAAATAGCTATAAAGTAAATCTACCTAGGGGGCATAATCATTAAAAGATAAATCACAAATATACAGTCAAACTTTGTTCGCCGAACAGAAGCACTAACAAACAATTACTGTATTTATCATTCGACTGATGCAAGCTAGAAAACTTCAAGGCATATAAACAACGTTTTAATAGTTCAACCTCAGATGGCTCGAACTACCGATCTCTCAAACAAATTTGCACAGGCCCTCCGAGCTCGAGCGAACAAAGTTTGACTGTACATGTATATATAACTTAAGATGAATTTTACATTTCTCATTTTCACCGCTCAAGACCGTTGAACACTGTAGATTTGATTCAAAAATTAAAAGAACTGAGATAACATTTTTTTTTATTATATATATACTTTATGAGTATCTCCCAAAGGAATGAGAAATTAAATACTTTAAAGAACACCAAGAATGAAAACAATCATTTTATCTTATGCCATTTTCTATTGTTTTCCACTTTACTATTCACAAATGTTACCAATTTTCCCAGTTATAGGTTTTTCCAGTTTACTAGTCAGATTTTAACCTATTTATTACTCAGATGTTACCAATTTTTCCATTTTACCTTTTAAATGTTTCAAGTTTTTCCATTTATAAGTTTTCTAGTGTACTAGTCAGATTTTACCCATTTACTAGACAGATGTTATCAATTTTTCCATTTTACTATTCAGATGGGACCATTTTTTCCATTTATAGGTTTTTCCAGTTTACTAGTCAAATTTCAGCTGTTTACTACTATTCAGAGATATTATCAATTTTTCCAGTTTACCTGTCAGAATAATAAGAAGTAGATATTTGACAATGCTGGATCATATTTTCACTATTTTGTTTTTGCTTTTCAAACCGTAAGCACTTTATATAAAGGTATTAACCATTATAATGCAGACACTAAAAGTAAAAAGTCTTATTAACAGTACATAACCACACAAGTCGGTGCATTCCCACTGTGTACAAAGTTCTATACTGCTGACTGTTGTATTTTATTTTTCTGACACCAAAATCCCTAAACTTTTCTGATAGGACAATTCCAAATTTAAAGTAAGGGGATGTCAATTATACAAATTCAGCAGGGGATGTAGTTTTAATAGTGTACCTTGTGATTATTTTTGGTAATTTCCTCAGCACTATTAGATCTTTGTATTCGTCGTGTAGGTTTCACTGAGGCTATTGTGGAAGGTGGCGAGGTCAAATTACTTCGAGGCTCACTAAATGAATTCACTGAAAATAAACAAGAACATTGTTTTTATATTATCTATACTGTAATAGCTGCCAATGAAGAAAGAACTATTTGGAAATACAGTGCAACTTCTTCATAGACACCCTCTATAAAGCAATTACCTCTCTAAAACTGCCCCCTATAAAGCAATTACCTCTTAAAACCTGCCCTTTATAAAACAATAACCTTTTAATAATGCCCTGTATAAAGCAATTACCTCTTAAAACCTGCCTTCAATGAAGTAATTACCTTTTAATACTGCCCTGTATAAAGCAATTACCTCTTAAAGCTGCCCTCTATAAAACAATTACCTCTTAAAACTGCCCTCTATAAAACAATTACCCATTAAACTGCCCTCTATAAAACAATTACCTCTTAAAACTGCCCTCTATAAAACAATTACCTCTTAAAACCTGCCTTCTATGAAGAAATTATCTTTTAATACTGCCCTGTATAAAGCAATTACCTCTTTAAAACCACCCTCTTTAAAGCAATTACCTCTTCAAAACCACCCTCTATAAAGCCTTTATCTCTTTTAAGCCACCCTATATATAGCAATTACCTCTCTAAACAGATTCACTTATTTCAATAGCCAGACTCCACAATAATTATATGTAACTTTTTTAAAGCAACACATGTAGGCAACAACCAAATTTTCTGTCTCCCAAAGAGTATTGCTCTACAGAGGTGATACTGTACATAACAAATGGAAATAGCCTGTCAGTAACAAAACAAAAACTGGACTTTTTATATTAACAACTATAACCCAAATGTACCTTAATGATTATTATCTCTTTCTTAAATCAATATGCTTTGAGACTTTTAATATGCTTTTACAAGTAATCCATTTTCAAAGGTTAATTAACCAGTAAACACCTGTTAACCATCATGAAATATGGTACCAGATTTTAGATAAATGTAGTCAAAAGGAGTTAAATATTTTATAATGGGAAGTTTATTGGTAACCCAGTGGTGTACAGAAAGATAACAAAATAGTTCATTATGTGAGATATGCTGATAATTTTCTAGAATAAAGTACAGAAAATGTTTTCCATTCCAATCTGGACTATTTATTAAACACTACCCTGTAATATGTTAATGCCACTAGTATAAAGCCAGGCCAGCTACATCCCTGCAGCCTGACAAGGTTCTATACTTCAGGCTACTATATTTTACTTTTTTTTTACCTAGAAATCCCTTCAACTAAAAATGAACTGTTCCAACCTCACAACTCGTCAAGTCCATTACACGTATCCAGTGGTGCGAGCGAGGCTTACGTAAGTAACAATTGTGAATAAACAATTACCTATATTATCCTGAATTAATTATATTTTCTTCAAAACCAGTTCATCAGAAAAAGATTTACTCTCCCCTATTATCTATTCCATCAATGAATAGTTTCATTAAGCATGCCCACAGGAAAACAACAACAACAACAGAATTCCCATGTGTAGTAATTATCTATGCTCGTTAAAGTTATGTCAAATCAATGAGTATTAATCATCACAGAAAATTTGGTTATATCTTTCTTTATGTATATCAACATGGCAATATATTTTTTTTTAACCTGACTAATATGTTTTGAAATGTTTTTCTTCCAAAAATTTTGGCTTCCTCACTTGTAACAATTTTGTGAAAATATTTAGCATTATTCTTTTCACAGCTTGTACAAGCTAATATTTATTACTGTGGTATTGTAAAATATGTGAACCAATATCTAAGAAAGTAGAAATATACTCCCCCCCCCCCCCCTCCAATTTTAGCATATTTTTATGAAAATTCCAAACATGGGAGAAAAGAATTTATTAAAATTAGTGTTCAGTATAGACTCTGGCAACAACCTTGACTTTCTTTCTTTCTAAATTTTGATTTGGTTTTACATCAAACCAACACAGTCTAGGTCATATGGCCACATTCCAGCTTTACTGGAGGAGGAAGACCTCAGGGGCCCCTAACTGCATTATTTCAGGCAGGAACGAGCATCTCTAGTAAGAACCACTGATGTTCTGTATGCTTGCTTGATAGCTTCCTTACCTAAAAGAATCTTCAGTCCACCAACAGTTGTCAAAGAAGCAAGTGGTTTGAGGTAAACAACCTTAACCCCTCTGCTATGAGAGCTATTGCATCAGCGTTAACCAGCCAGCCATTTATGTGCATTAAAGTTAAAGAGGTTAACCAGTCAGCCATTTAAGTGCATTAAAGGTGTTAACCACTAGGCCATTTATGTGTATCAAAGTTAAAGGTGGTTACCAATAAGCCATTTATGTGCATTAAAGTTACAGGGGTTAACCACTCCACCAATTATGTACATTAAAGTTACACAGTTAACCACTTGTCCATTTATGTGCATTGAAGTTCAAGGCTTTAATCACTTGGTCATTTATGTGCATTAAAGTTAAAGGTGTCAACCACTCGGCCATTTATGTGCATCAAAGCTACAGGGGTTAACCACATAGCCATTTATGTGCAATAAAGTTAAAGGCGTTAACCACTCGGCCATTTATGTGCATTAAAGCTACAGGGGTTAACCACACGGCCATTTATATGCATTAAAGTGAAAGCTATTTATATGGGGCCATTTATGTGCAAGTTTAAAGTAAACGGTGTTAGCCACTAGGCAAATTATTTGCATTAAAGTTGTTAACCAGTGAGCCATTTAAGTGCATTCAAGTTACAGGGCATTAACAACTCGGACATTTATGTGCATTAAAGTTAAATGGCAATCACTCGGCCATTTATGTGCATTTAAGTCAAAGGTGTTAACCAGTGGGCCATTTATGTGCACTTAAGTTGCAGGCGTTAACCACTTGGCCATTTATGTGCATTAAAGTTTAAGGCATTAAACACTCAGCCATTTATGTGCATTAAAATTACAGGGCATTAACCATGTGGCTATTTATATGCATTCTTGTCTAAATAATGTAGAGAGAAGTAAATATTACTGACCTGGTGTACTGGTCGCACTAGGTGAGATACTGTAGTTTGTTAAAACTCTGGGATCATCCATCTGTCATAAAAATAAGTAATAAAGATTTAAAATTTGAGTTTCTATAAATAAACATTATGATTTCTTAAATAATTTACATTTTTACTTTTTAATTAACATTATTTTTTTAAAATAATTTCCTTTTTTTCAATCGAAAGATTATAAATAATGTTGTTTTTTTTGCTCTTGCTCTTTTTTATATTTTGAAATGGTTTTATACTTATTTGTACAAAGTTTGTTGTTCTATTCAAAAACTAGTAAGATTATCCATTTATTCACATATTATGGTTACACAAAATGTTTTTTTTTTAATATATATTTAACACTAGACGCTTTTTTGTTTCTTTGTTTTGTTGGGTTTAAGTAGAAACAACACTTTAAAGGTCATATGGGGACTCCATGTTTTACCAGAGGTAGACCGAAGTTCCATTAAGCTATCCATGGTGGGATTCGAACCAACAATGGTATGGGGAAAGTGGTTCAAAGTTTACCACTGACGCCACCTAAGGCTTAAACATCAATGGGTTAAATATTTTATAAACCTGATAAGGTCCGGTATCAGTGGGTCTGGTGATATCGTTGGTAACCGACGGCGTTGTGGAACTCGTCGAGCTTGTATCATCTTCAGTCCCGCCAAGAATCTCATCTAACACTGAAATTATAAAACATAAAAACTTAAACTTAGAGTGCAAAACCTCCATAGCAAGCACCAGTTTGTCAGGTTGGGTGTGTTTTAAGTCAAATTACCACTGTAAAGGGCATATGGAAACTTTCCAGCGTTACTGGTGGAGAAAGACCTGTGGTGTCCATTTAGTGCATTACTGTATATAAAGGTGCGAGCAAACTCCGGAGTAGAACAACTGATGTGTAAGTAACCCTGGGAGAGAGGGCCATGAGAAATGAAATTTGCTCCTGGTCAGTGTTTAATGCAGGGACAATACCCCCACCCCCACTCTTTAGTGCTTATCAGTATAGCCTAAAGAATCTTGAAAACATAATTTGACACAAAGTTTTCTGTGAAACTGCATCATCTTACAATTTTAAAGACAATTCTGATCTTATGTTGAACCCAACCCCTCTTCAGGCTCAAAATAAGTTAACTGACCAATTAAAGCACATCATGAAGAAAAAAAAAACACACACCAGAATTTGGCATTCCTTCTGCATCCAATGTTTTATGCCATAATTTCTTTGAATTATATGTAATTGGTCTGCATTTCTGCATCATTTGATGAAATTTCTTGCATAAAACAGGTGTCTGTTCTTTGTTTTTAAGATCGTTAAAATCAAATTAGTTCAGTCTTTTTATCTAACACCTGACTGATCCCAAAATGAATTTGAGGATTTACATAAGATGAGAAAATATAATTAATTGAATTTGTTAGGTCTATTTCTCTCATAGAATATACCAACATGAAAATTGCCAAAAAAAATTATAGTGATTATATAACCTTGAAATGCTTTGAACAGATTTATACCAGAAACAACCCTTAAAGGGACTCCACTGAGTTTTCTTTTTTTACATGACCGGACTGGAAATATTTTCTCCAAGATTTATGTTCCATTTGATGTAGGTCTAGACCAATAACTTGTGTACAATATATCAGATTCTCCAATTCTGTTTTTTTTGGGGTTTTTTCCGGAACTTTTTTAATTGTGAAATATGACCCAAAATTGAAAAGTGTTGCACTGCTTTTTATGCACATCGGGACAAGAATAGCGCAGAGAAAATGATTTTCAATTCATTTCTGAGTATTTCTTGGTCATTTTTTGCATATCTGTCTGTTTGCCTGTCTAAATGCCTTAATTGATCTATGTATGAAATTCAAAAATTGTTTTTTTCTAAGTCTAATGGACCTCAGTGGTGTTCTTTTAATCTCTCATTTAAATCCTCTAGCAGAAAAATAATGGGATTAATTCTAAAATTTACCAAAGGATTGGTCATTGATTCCCTCACTTTTAAGTGTTGAAAATCCAGTACCGCTCAATCCAGGTCTAGAGGACATGAGGGATGTCACACTTTTCCATTATCCCTCATGTACAGACTCAATCAAACCAAGTCTGCAATTTTCCATGTAATTTTGTTGTAGATTAATACTGCCAAGGGATCAGTCTTTCTCCAGATTTTGAAATAAGGCCAGCATTTTAATATTGACTTTTGGGTAAGCGATAACAGACAGACCAGCAAAACATTTAATGAACTTAAAGTGCAACTTACTTTTCCGCCCTTGTGCTTGAGCCACCAACTCTTCAATTTTCTTGTAACGTCGTAAAATTCTCCTTAACTCCTCCAGTCTCTTGTCCTGCACAAAAAAAACATTAACAAACTTAAAACTGTTCTTTACTTAAGAAACAATATGAGCCCCGCCATGACAAAACCAACATAATGGGTTTGCGACCAGCATGGATCCAGACCAGCCTGCGCATCCGCACATTCTGGTCAGTTTGTTTGTTTTACACCTTTTTCTAACAGTATTTCTGATCAGGATCCATGCTGTTCACTATTAGTTTCTTTACTTGTTATAGGGTCTGTAAGCGAACAGCATGGTTCCTGATCAGACTACGCGGATGCGCAGGCTGGTCTGGATCCATGCTGGTCGCAAACACACATATATCCCAAACAGTGATTTTATCGCTCAATAAAACCACCGTTTAAGAGTTGGGATGCCAGGAATGATGCGCATCCTAACTACAAACATTTTATCAAGCGATAAAATCACCGTTTAGAATAATTATATTATTTCTATTATAACTCGACATCAATGGTATTAAATTAAATTGCCCCTTATTTGCTTCCGTACTTATTTTCATTTTTAAATGGTTACGAGACAGGCATAATGATTACATCACAAGGCTGCACAAGCATTAATCTAAGGCTACAAAAATAATGCAAGTTGTGATGTGTTTTTTGGTCTTTTTTTTTTTTTTTGTCATTTTAGTAAATCCAATATTCTAAAAAAAGTGTTCTTAAAATATGTTACCTTTTCAGCATTTGAGGTCATTAAGGCATCTACAGCTTTCTTTAATCTCTCCACTTCATATTCTGAAATATAGAAACCAGTATTTCAACTTGCTTTCATCACTCCCAATTTCTTCATTTAAAACTAAACCTTAACACAAATTTTCTACTTTCAATTTTTTTTTATCGTTATTAAAATTTTTTCAGACTAACTGTATTGCTTTCTCCCCAAAAAATTCTGACATCAGCCAATATTGTAGCAAATCGCTGGTCAATTAAGGAACGTTGTTTTTCAAAAATCTTGTAACAATCACTAATGCTTTATCGCCATGCACTAAATTCGGGTTACTGTTAAATATTATTGAATACAAATATTGTGGAAAAAAAAATCGTTCAGGAAATGACAGATTTATTAGATATTGGCCAATGTAAGATTTTTTTCAGGCACGAAAGCATTGCAGTAAGACTACCTTAACATTACTGTTTACCAAAATAACAGTGCTTTTTATCATAATACAAGGGCAAGCCAAACTAGGTTTATTTGTTTGTTTGGTTTTCAAATTTCTATAAGATTAAGGTCCAAAATCAATTGTCATGGAGAAATTTGTGCCTAGCCAAAGATTCAAACCAAGGACCAAAGGGTTACGAATCCAATGTTCTCCCAGCAGGTGCACTTGTATTAAGGTCCAGAGGTAAATCTTAATCAAATGGACATTGTAATACATAATTATAAGCATTTATCTGGAGCTTTCAAGTCTAATTTTTCAATTGACAGCTACTTTTTGATATGATCATAATGGGCCTTGGCAAGTTTTTGATATGATCAAGATAGGCCTTGGCAAGTTTTTGATATGATCAGGATGGGCCATTCCAAGTTTTTGATATGATCAAGATGGGCCTTGGCAAGTTTTTGATATGATCAAGATGGGCCTTGGCAAGTTCTTGATATGACCATAATGGGCCTTGGCAAGTTCTTGATATGATCAAGATGGGCCTTGGCAAGTTCTTGATATGATCAGGATGGGCCATTCCAAGTTTTTGATATGATCAAGATGGGCCTTGGCAAGTTTTTGATATGATCAAGATGGGCCTTGGCAAGTTTTTGATATGATCAAGATGGGCCTTGGCAAGTTTTTGATATGATCAAGATGGGCCTTGGCAAGTTCTTGATATGATCATAATGGGCCTTGGCAAGTTCTTGATATGATCATAATGGGCCTTGGCAAGTTCTTGATATGATCAGGATGGGCCTTTCCAAGTTTTTGATATGATCAAGATGGGCCTTGGCAAGTTTTTTATATGGACAAGATGGGCCTTGGCAAGTTTTTTATATGGACAAGAATAGCTTCTGCAAGTTTTTGATATGATCAATAAGGGCACTATAGAATGACTTCTGTACACTCCTTTTCAAGCAATAAATTTGGAATGAATTGGCTTTTCAGTGCAAAGAATAACAGACCCATTTAATGGGTAAAGGACAAAAAATTTAACTTTTTTATGCTTTTTTCTTAAAGAATCCTTTATCCTCATGATAATTACAGCTGAGAATGTTCTGTTCCGTTATTTACATTGAAAAATATTATCTGTTCAAAGAAGACATTTTCAATCACACAGGAAAAACACACTCCTGCTAACAATGAAGGAGAACAACTACATTTTGTATGTTCTCAAATACACTAAATACACTGTGTATAACCAGTACAGTGTAACTTCCGAAAACCGAACACCCATGGGACTTGTAAAAAAGTTCGGATTTCAGAGGTTTCCGGAATTTAGAGGTTTATGATAATGTGGACAAGACTAAGCCACTTAATATATAAAACTAAATGTCAAGGAAGATGTGGCCATTACTGTAATATCATATATAATAGTCTTTTAATCAAGATAAAGATGTGAATGAAAAGAATGCTTTTTTATCTTATCTGCAAAATTAATGCTTTTGGATTTCTGATGTAGAAATGTTGTTAATTGCATACACTTACATATCGTCCGATGCTAGTTAATTAATTATTACATCAAATGCAATAAAATCCCTAAAGACTTTTGATGCATACATTGTCCAATTAATTGACATTTAATCCGCTAATGAACACTTCAAATTAACTGACCGCCGTAAATTACTTTGATTAATCGCATCACTTCAAACATACCATTTCACAGTTTGTGATTTTAAGGCGTGTCAAATTACACGATCACCGTTAATTAGTAAACAATCTATAGGGAGATTAAATCTTCCTGCAGGGTAAACATTCTCGATTTACAATGTATTTCACACCTTTTGATATTTCCAGTTTTTGGAGGTAAAATTGCCTTTAATTTGACTCTAATTTTACGAAAATATCGTCCGGAATTCAGAATTTAGAAGTTCCGGAATTCAGAAGTATTATATTAATAGAAAAAAGAAGCGAAAAAAACGGGACCGAAAAAATTGTTCGGTTTTTAGAAGTTTCCGGATTTCAGAAGTTCCGGAATTCGGAAGTTACACTGTAACAGTCAAATTCAAAAAAGCATATCAAGAGGAAGGAAGAGTTCAAGAACTCTTTAATCTGAACTAACTGAAAATATTTTCTGTAATTTGAACACTTTATTCAAAGCAAAACAATTCATTCTACTGATCAAATTTATTTAAGTTAAATCAAATATTTGTTTGCCTTATTTTTATGCTAATTTCAACACATTTTTGGTCATATCTTGGCAGGTGATCCACCTAACCCGCTTTTCTGGATAACTAACCAGTTATTTACCAATTTATCTGCAAGTGACACACTTGTAATCCTACAAGATTTCTGAGTTGGTTGTGAGAGACAATTGACCATTAGCCTCAATGTCTGAGAGAAAAGCTTTCATCCTACCTGTGGGTTAGGATGAGGATCCAACCAGTGACCCCTGGATTGTGGATCTTATGCTCTACCTATTGAGCTAAGCTAGCGAACATCATGAGATTAGTGTTACCAGTTATACACAGTGCAACATAATAAATCATACAATTCAACACAAATTTTCACTGCAAATGGAAACCAAATTGAACAAATTATCCAATAAAATACAAAATGTATAGGTATCATTCAATAAATAACAAAGTTTTCATTAGTTGCCAGGGGGGAAAAAATGCTTTAAAATGAGATTATTAATTATTGATATCTGAATATCAAATAGCATCCGCCATGATCATATAAATGAACAATTTACCATAAACAGTTAACATTTTGCAGCTTCAAATAATAATATCTATAATTTAAAAGGCAAAAAACGAAACTTAAATTGGTTATTTTTCTCAAAAAAGTTTCAACTAAAATTGAAACAAGTGGGCTTAACACAATTGAACAAAATTTTCAACAAAAAATGAAACAAGTGGGCTTAACACAATTGAACAATTAGTACTTTTAATACAAATGAAATTAATTAACAGCTAGTACTTAAATTGAACTGAAAATAATAATCATAATAACAAAGAAACATTTTAATACAAATTGACATAAATGCTAAAGGAGGTACAACAACACCTTGACTTACCCAGTGGTAAACTCCAAAAGAATGCTTAATTTTAAGAAAGTATCAGATTTAAAAAGAACCTGTTTAATTAGAACCTGTTCAATTTTAGTAGTATCAGATTTAAATAGAACCTGTTTAATTTAGGGAAAGTATTTAAATAGAACCTGTTTAATTTCCGATAGTATCAGACTTAAACAGAACCTGTTTTATTCAAGAAAGTATCAGATTTAGATAGAACCTGTTTAATTTAGGAAAATATCAGATTTAAATAGAACCTATATAATTTAGGAAAAGTATTTCAATAGAACCTGTTTAATTTAAGAAAGTTTCAGATTAAAATAGAACCTGTTTAATTTAGGAAAGTATTAAAATAGAACCTGTTTAATTTCCGATAGTATCAGATTTAACTAGAACCTGTTTAATTTAGGAAAGTATTTCAATAGAACCTGTTCAATTTTAGTAGTATCAGATTCAAATAGAACCTGTTTAATTTAGGAAAAGTATTTCAATAGAACCTGTTTAATTTAAGAAAGTTTCAGATTAAAATAGAACCTGTTTAATTTAGGAAAGTATTAAAATAGAACCTGTTTAATTTCCGATAGTATCAGATTTAACTAGAACCTGTTTAATTCATGAAAGTATTTAAATAGAAAGAACCTGTTCAATTTTAGTAGTATCAGATTTTTTAACTAGAACCTGTTAAATTGAGAAAAATATTTCAATAGAACCTGTTTAATTTAGGAAAGTATTTAAATAGAAAGAACCTGTTCAATTTTAGTAGTATTAGATTTAAATAGAACCTGCTTAATTTAGACAGTAAACCAAATACTTGGAAAGTTTATGCAGGATGCCAGTTGCGCAAAAAGCTGGGGGAAATTTTTCTGGGACATACCATTTCACAAAGGGGGTAATAATTGTTTCACAAAGGGGGCAATAATCATTTCACAAAAGGGGGAAATAATCATTTCACAAACTATCTTACGTTTCTTTTTTTTAAGTCTATCAAGACTTAGCGATCTTTCCTTATGTTCACCATGAAACTGATCTAGCATATAGTCATCTGTAACCACAAAATCAATAGTTGTTTAAACCCTTTCTCTACAGACTTGTCCTTCTTTAAATTAAATGAAACAGCCAATGGAATAGAGCCTCTGTCAAACTGCATAGACTGGTCTGACTTACATGTGACATACATAAATCATGCATGAAGGTGACAGCCCACTCTTAGGATCAAACAGGTTCAAAGTTTGTCTCCCATTGAAAATTAACTTTTGTTGAATAAATTTAACACTTTCAAAGTTTGACTCCCTGGCATCTAAAATTAATTTTTGTTGAATAAATATAACAATTGCAAAGTTGGACTCCAACTTTAAAATTAATTTTTGTTGAATAACTATAACAATATCTTCAAGAATGCAAGCTACTCGACAAGTTTCTTACTAACTATGAACCTACACCTATCTACTACCAGTTGGTACAGAGAATTCAGTATCTTATTAAGCAGCCAACAGTATAGAGTAAGTTCAGACTGTACAGATAATTTTTTTAAAATTTTGGTTGGGTTATACATCACACAAACACTGTAAATCTTTACTGGTGGAGGAAGACCTCAGGTGCTCGTCCGTGTCTTATTTCAGGCAAAAACTAGCACCCAAGTAAACCCACTGACATTCCTTAAGCCAGCTGGATAGCTTCTTCACAAGAAATAAAAATCTAAAGTCCCTGGTGAGATTCAAACCCACAGCGGTGAGGGGTAAATGGTTTGAAGTCAACAATCTTAACCAATCGGCATGGACTAAGATGCTTTTTAACAAATACTGAAAGTAAATAGAAATTCAGGAGTATTTAGCCTTGCCAATTAGTCTGAAATATTTACTTCCCAAAATTTAGGCCAAGTGAAAAACACATTTTTTTTTACTGAATACTGGTGGCCTATGTCTGCCACTGTCACTTATGGCACTTAAACGCAAAAGCCCCTGAAACGAATAAATCTTTCCTTCATAGACAGTGCAAATATGGACTTTAAAACGTTAAAATTATGTTAAGATGCTTTTTAACGAAAGAAATCGAGCCAAATATGAGAAATTATTTGTCATAAAGAGAGCAAAAGGTAAACAAAATATTGTTTCCACTTCCATACAAAATACTAAATCACTATAACTGTAATAATTATTAAATAGCAACAGAAGCAAAGGACAGTCTAATTAAATGACTATTTAGTATCTTCTTGGAAACTATAACAGAACACCAAAAATTAAGGTTTCAAGAAATCTAAGTTAAAGCATTTCTGGGGCATTATGGGCCTTTAACCGAGTTGAATTATTGATCAGGTTATATGTTTGGAAAAAGCATAATTATACAATTTAAGGACAAAACCTATCATCTAAAGTTGGAAAATATTCTTGATACAGGAATCAGCTGATTTGTAAATTTTATAATGCTTTTAAAACATGTAATCTTTCATTTTCATCTCTATAGAGAAATATGACACTGTCTAAACCAGCAAGTAAGGCCTTGACTGTTATTTGTTTTGAATTCTGTTATTGGTGTTAAGTTCCAGACAAATTTGCTTGTTTGTTTGAAAACACTTCTTATTTGTTTTCATCAGATACATAAAGACAGAAATTTGATAGACCACTATTTTTCCTTTGCCAACTTGACTTGTGATATGAAGTACATATTTAACAGAAATTTAAGCCAATTGAAATCTGGCATATACTTTTAGAATACGACTCATTCTATGAAAACTTGGCATAAATTATCAAGGAAACCTGGCATAATTTATGCAAAACTATCAAGAAAACCTGGCAAAATTTATGCAAAACTATAATGGAAACCTGGCATAATTTATGCAAAACTATAATGGAAACCTGCATATTTTATGCGAAACTATCAAAGTCTGACAGTCTCAATTAAATTTTTATCACTTAATGAAATGCTAAAATCATATTTTTCAACAAAAAAAACAAAAAAAACAAAAATTAAAGATCAGACAACAGGAATATCACATCTTGCTAATTATCAGTTAATCATGACATTTCCTTGATAAATCTTTAATCTACTTCCTTCTTAAAAATGTCATCCCCAGTACTAATAAGGATTCCTGTCACTTTAGTTTCCTCCATTTCTTACATTTGTGGCCATTCTCTCGCCACAAATCCTTTCTCAGATTGTTTTGGACTTCATTCTCAATATTATTTAATATTAATCCTGTTATAGACCCTCCAAAGAAATACCATACCAATATAACAAAATATCTGCACAATTTCTTGTCAAAACTATAAATTTTTATCTCACAAAACAATAAAAGCAGGAATACTAAGGGCCTTCTTGAAAAACTATAATGATTATTAATCACTCTCTTGAAAACCTATGATAAGATTAACGGAAAGAATATTAATTTGCCTATACTTATAATTTTGAAACATGTATGTTTATCTGATTCAGTACCTTCATTTACAAAACTAACCCCTGCCCCCCTAAAACTTCTAAATTTCTGTGCTTTATTCTACATTCAGCTTTAAAAATGTCACACAAAAAACACACTTTGCTATATCCCATAAAAATCTTACATTAATGATTAATGATTATTCAAAAAGAAAAAAAAAAGTTATTGTTTTTCGTTCCGGCTTTCACTTACCATTAACATCGGAGACGACTGTACCATTGCGTGCCAATTTCTGTCGTAAGTCAGCAGTTTCTGCATCTTTTAGAGCGAGTCTCGCCTCAAAGTCTGTAATCTGTCTCTGTAATTATAAAACCAAGAACTGCGTAATGTTTCGTCTTGTTTTAATTTAACTTTTGGATACTTGGCAGTAATTACCATTTATTCAACTAGTCAATCTTTCAATCTGAACAAAATGATTAATCATTTTTTAAGGGCAAACTTGTATTGACTGAAGAGCGAACAGTGTTTTCATCTAAAAACAAGAGGGCCAAAGTAGCCCTAGACCGCTCACCTGAGATCCAATGCTAGAACTAGTCCGTATGATAGTTCTTTTGGTTGTCTTTTGCATCAAACTAGAACCATTGATTTAACTTTTGTAAAAGCCACCTATGGGTCATTCCAGTTATGTTTGATCATATTCCAACTTGTGATTTATATTAGGAGAAGTTGTTTCAAAACATTGTGTTTATAAATGCTCACCTCTAAGCATTTTGTGCTCAGGTGAGCTAATAAATTTTATACACAATTACCTATCATCTCTGCAATTTGCCATGTTATTATTTAAAAAAATCGGCAAATAATCAATACTCGATGGAATTTTATAGGTAAAACTACCCTGATTAAAATTAACTATTTATACATGCAATGAGCCATCAATGATGTAATGTGACACAGTTAAGTAACTGTAGCCATTAGATTTGTGTAACTGACTTGCATTACTTTGAATATGGAAATGCCAATAGTTTCATGAATTAAAGCCTGAGCAGAGGACTCCCTTTCATTAAACCTCATAACATTTTGGGGTCATCTACTAGCCACGGGCAATATGCCTAAAAAGTTTCACAAGCCTAGGCATTATTACTTCAAATTACTATATGGACAAGGATCTTAAATAAAGTGCCACTGTGACCTTGACCTTTAACCTGAAAATCAATAGGGGTCACTTACTGACAACAGGCAAAGTCTATACCAAGTATAAGCCAGACATTTTCTCGCATCTCATTGAGCAGATTTTCCATTTGTAATAGTGACCTTGACCTTATGACCTCACAATCAATAGAGGGTCACCTATTGGCCATGGGCAATGTCCCTATAAAGCATATAACCTACATGTCCCTACTAAATTTTCACAAACCTAGGCTTATTCCTTTTTTAGGTTACTGAGTGGCCTCAAATGGATATTTAGTAACCAAATGTGGGTCTATTTTGTCCAAGACTAACTAGTGTATGTTGACTTGGCCAAATATAAAACAAAACAAAGCTTTTGTGAGTTTGATCCAAAAATGCCTTGTTCATTTTCTACACCTTTGCATCTTATTACATTATTTTCAACTTTCAAAAGTTATTAGTTTTTTGTCCAGGTGTTAACACAATAATAATAATAGCATGATTCTGTTTGTCATAAAATTGCACCACCTCCACCCCCTCCATCCCCATAATCTGTCCTGCAATGTATTATTTGTTCATTTTAATGATTATGAAAATACCTGTGACTGTTTTAATCTTTCCTCTAATTCCCTCCTCTCATTTTCTGCAGTGGCCAAGCGTATTTTGAGACTGGATATTTCTGCCATTAGATCGAGTTTATGGGTCTCCAAGGAAGACCGTGTCAACAATTCCTGAAAGTAGAAAAAAGATCACCCCTATATAGATGATATAGCAATGCATTACAATGTATTATATCGAGAAATAACAAGAAAATGAGTATGATATGGCATGATTAACCGTTTGAATGCTCGAACCAAAATCAAGTGTCCTTTGATTCCAGTATTGAGCCAGGTCAGCCAGCTCTCATTGGCGTGACCAGTGCCCTCTTCTAGCAGGCCAATTTCAAGTTTTTTTTTGTTTGTTTTTTTTTCATTTTGCTATCCTTAAAATTGACAGCAAACAGTTTCTATAATGGTAAGTAGACTTTTCAATTTAAGATATTGGGTAAGAGTCTAAAAGCACTTATCAGAAATCATTTCAACTTCATCAAATTAAGCTAATTACATTTACATGCAAATACATGACCTTTCATTTCCATATTATCTGATAAAATTTATAAGAACCAGTTTATATAGTACAACAACAAACATGTACTATATAACCAGGGAATAAATATATAAATTTCTTTAATTTTGGAAAACATAAATTTTCATTAAAGAATTATATAAATTTAACACAACAGAAACTAAAAATTCACAAACAATTAATAGACCTTGCCAATTGGTCCAAGATGCTTTTGCAAAATTTTGGCCTCCAGAAAATATCGTTTTTTACGGTAACAAAAAAATGTTAATAAATTGAAGGTACAAAAAAATGTACCAGAAAATAATGTACCAGAAACTATGCAACATGTCTGCCTCCCAGGGAATTCATGCAATTTAGGAAAGTGCTTCCCAATAAAACTCATGCAATTTTTACTAATGAGTTCCAAAGGTCTATAAAAATAGTCAAACAAATGTATTGCATGTTTGTGCTAGTTTATTAGTCTGTAATCAAATGTTGTTTTTCACTGTTGTTTTGTGCTGATGTTTTTTTTTTTTTGTTCTTTTTCAGTAGTATTACTCTGTTTATATCAAGTCACTGTGACATAATGATGATCACCTCTATTTATGTCAGAAAGCTATCTACAGAGTTCCAGATAACGTGCGTATCGGCGTATTTTACGCTTCAAAATCAACTAAATACGCACCATATTTCAAATTTCTTGCGTTCATTTACGCATGCTATAAATTAAATACGCAAAGAATGAAAAATCAAAGCGTATTTGGTGTGTACTTTCATTTTCGAAACAGCTGATTCCGTTTCCGTTTAACAGTTGACTGTGTTTCTTTATTCCGTATAATACCCGCCAAAATACTTCCAACTATTTTTCGTTCTGTAAACCAGTCAAATTATGTCTTTATCGCACAGGCGCTTGGTAAAATGTGTTGCTTGATTTTCTTTATAATTGCAAGCGTTTAGTTATAGAGACTTACATCATGGCTGCTTCCAACCCAAAGCAGAGAAAATTGACAAGACTGAGTTGCCTGCTAAAACAATTGTAAACCCAATTGTTGAAGACATTTTAGATAGTGTATTTAAAGTGAAAAGGGCGCACATAACTGTGAATCGCAATACAACACTTGAAAATTGGCAAAAATGTTATCCGTGGCTGCAAATTTCAGAAATTGGTATTTAAATGCGAATGAAATGTCTGACTTGTCATAAATTTAAAGCTTGCAATGAGTAGGCTATTGAATGTGCAATAAATCACGGATTTATAAAAAACTAGAAATGTGTCCATAGGACACTGATGCCCCCACACGCCACTGTTCTGTCAATCTTATGACTCTAGGTCAAATATTTTTTGGACTACATGTGCCACAAGTTGAAAACTAAAGATCAACAAAGGGCCATAATTCTGTTAAATTTGGTAGCAGCAAAAAATCTTTCCTTTACTACCATCTACACATTAAGGTTGTTCATCCCTGGAAGTTTAAGCAAAATCTGCCATCCGGTTTAAGAGGAGTTGCATTCACAAAATTTCTACATAGTATATAGTGAAAAAATCAACAAAGGGCAATAATTCTGTAAAATTTGGTCGCAGCAGAAATTCCTTCCTTTACTACCATCTACACCTTAAGGTTGTTCATCCCTGTAAGTTTAAGCAAAAATCTGCCATCCGGTTTAAGAGGAGTTGCGTTCACAAAATTTCTACATAGTATAGAGTGAAAAAATCAACAAAGGGCCATAATTCTGTTAAATTTGGCGCAGCAAAAATTCCTTCCTTTACTACCATCTACACATTAAGGTTGTTCATCCCTGGAAGTTTAAGCAAAATCTGCCATCCGGTTTAAGAGGAGTTGCGTTCACAAAATTTCTACATAGTATATAGTGAAAAAATCAACGAAGGGCCATAATTCTGTTAAATTTGGTCGCAGCAAAAATTCCTTCCTTTACTACCATCTACACCTTAAGGTTGTTCATCCCTGTAAGTTTAAGCAAAATCTGCCATCCGGTTTAAGAGGAGTTGCGTTCACAAAATTTCTACATAGTATCTAGTGAAAAAATCAACTAAGGGCCATAATTCTGTTAAATTTGGTCGCAGCGAAAATTCCTTCCTTTACTACCATCTACACATTAAGGTTGTTCATCCCTGTAAGTTTAAGCAAAATCTGCCATCCGGTTTAAGAGGAGTTGCGTTCACAAGATTTCGGGACGTACGGACGGACTGACTGACGGAATGACGGACGGACGGACAAGTGCAACGCTATATGCTCCCACATTGTGGGGGCATAAAAATTAAAAAAATTAAGAATGTGGTAAAGGCCTTTCAATTGAAGTGAATTCACGCTGAAGCCTGAATAATTGATTCAGAGAATGGTGTGTTAATTTTAATGTTATAAACCTGTGATGCAGCAAAAAAAGTAAGTCATTTAATTGTACTCTTTAGATTTACGATATACAGTAAAGACCGTTTACAGTGACCTTCGATGGGAGAAAAGAAAAAAGGTCATTATAGACAGGGAGTCACTGTGGACAGTCTCAGCATAATTCGGATATATGAACATATCATACCAATATTTTGTTGAAAAGCTGGATAGTACCATACTAAGGGTTTAATTATATTCTTATTGATATTAAACATATCAAATATCATTTATAAAAAACAAGAGAGTATAAAAATTGCATGTATAATTGGTTAAGATTATAAACTACACCATAACATTAGTATTTAAAAGTTACATATTCATGAAAATGTAATTTATATTGATAAATATGTTTGTAAAAAAATGTTCAATTTCAATTTTACTAATGAAATGTTACTGTAGAGACATTTAATGTTGTATAATCAGCCTGTTTACTTTACGGAGATCAATGTATTAATAAAACATTAGATACAAATCTTCACATAATTTCTACAGAAAAGTACTCCGAAAAACATTAACAATCGAGGTTTCAAACATAAGCACACCTTTAAGACGTTTGGCATTGTTTATCTTTACTCGCCAAAACACCGCAGCATTTATGTATATGCAGGTGTCTTTAATCATTCTATCGGCGAAAATTGTTTGAATCTGTCGCCATTTTGTGTAATTGTCAACAAACAGCCACAGTGTATTAGCGTGTCGCCGATTGGTCAATGCAAACTGCCGTAGATACAACGCGCGTTCTGATTCGTCAATCGCATGAATACGTAATGAGAAAGATAAACATAGTGAACTCTTGCCTTGCGGCGTGTATTGAACTTTGTTGATGTTGACACGCGTTCTTAATTAGCGGATTAACGGTAATTGGTTGTAATTGAGAGGTAAACAAATTATTAACAGACCTAGCGGCGTAAATAAGTATGACGGAAAATTATAAAAATCGGGCGACTTCAAAATCTCTTTGAAGTTTGTTTTAGGCAAAGTCGCTGATCCGAAGGCGACTTCTTCGCCAAAGTCGTCACCTAGTTCAAGCCTTGCTCCCCTTGCAAAAGTCGCTGTTCACGGCTCAAATACCGTAACGGGTGACTAAATCATGGTCGTTGTACGGACTAGACAGGGAGTCGCTACATACAGACCATTTATATAGTAAATACTGTTCGGCGCACCTAACTATGGTCACTAAAGACAGAACGTCGCTATATACAGGGGGTCGCTAAGACAGTCTTTACTGTATCTAAATTTACCCCCACATTCTGAAATGTGGGGGTAATTACCCCCAGTATCAAAAAATTATCTGGAACTCTGTATCTAGCTAGCTTACTAAAGGTTTGTGGTTACTGCTTATTCCCCGAAATAATGCACAGAGGGTCACCTGAAACTTTTTGATATTGTTTTACTGGGATTTTTGCCACTGTATGTGACCTTCCAGCTTTACTGATGGAGGAAGACCTCAGATTCCATTCTCCCATTTATTTACAGGCATGAGTGGGCCCCTGAGTAGAACCACTGTCATGCCAGGTAAAGAAAGAAAATCTAAAGCAGGATTTGAACCCACAGCAGTGAGGAACAAGTGGTTTGTACAACCGTAACCACTCAGCCACTGACATCACCTGAAGTCTTTCTTCACCCGTATAGCTGTCCATATAACCATACAACAATACCAGTGTAAGTTTGACTTAAAATCTTATCAATTATTACAAGTTGGGCAAATCCATATGAAAATGACATTGGGTTAACTAAATTTTCATTTTGTTGAAATATTTTACTCCTACCGCTACCTAGCATCTAAGTGCCTAAATAAAGTCTTAATATGACATTTCCCTACCAAAAACTATCCACTGACTTTCTGTATCAAAAAAGGGTCACAAAGTGAAAAATAATTTATTTTAAAACCTTAGAGAAATCATGCAAAACTGTTTAACTTCAATGAAATATAGCACAAAACATAATTATTATGCACAAAAAAAAGTCTAAGATATTTTATCATTTTGTTTCAGCACTGGCCCCAGCAGGTCTCGTATCATGAAAACAAATATATGAATGATTTCACAAAAAAACAAAAACATTCATTATACACCTAACCTCAATATCTAATCTCTGCAAAAATAACCTCAACATCAAAATTCTACCTCATATATAAACAATAGCTTCCTTGTCAGCTCCAGGAAAAATCCCAAAAATATCACAAACAAAAGCTAAACTTTATAAACAAAAAAAATAGT